CAGAGTTAGGAGGAGTGGAGAGAAGGAATTGTAAAGAGCCAGGTACTCCCCTGGTAAGTTAATACAGGTAGATAATGTCTAGTAGCAAAGTCAGTTAAAAAGTTGGAAGTGATTGCTTCTGGGGGAGGAAATGTTGGACACTGCCAGGGATCTGCTTTGTTTTTGGTGATAGTACTGGGGATTAACCTCAGGGCTTTCCCACTGAGATACATCCCAGGACCCCATTATATTTTATTTTTGAGACAAGGTTTCACTATGTTGTCCAGGCCAGCCTTGAACTTGCCATCCTCCTGCCTTAGCCTCCCAATGCCTGGTTTTACAAGTGATTGCTGGCATTACCACACTTGGCTAGAAACAATTTCTTTCTTTTTCTAAGTCCATTCTCTTATGAAACCAATGAAGCTAAAAGGAGGGGCACTGATACAGATTAAACCTAAAGACAGATTAAAAAAAAAACAACTCTAAGCCTTGATTTTTGGGGTTGGAGGTTTAGCTCAGTGCCTCCAGCACCTGCCTGGCAAGTGCAAGGTCCTGAGTTCAATCCCTGGTTCCCCCCCCCCCCAAAAATCTCTAAACCTAAAGGCAGATTATGTGGTGGTGCATGTTTATATCCTAGGAATGAGCAGGCTGAGGCAAGAGGATTGCAAATTTAAACCAGCCTGGGCAGTTTAGAGTCTTAGCAAGACCCTGTCTCAAAATAAATTTTTAAAAGGGCTGGGATGTAGCTCAGTGTGAAGTCCCTGGGTTAAATCTCCAGTAATAGGGCCAGGGATTTAGCTCAGTGGTACTGCACCTACCTCACAAGAGCAAGATCCTGAGTTTGTCCCCTGGTCCCCCCCCCCCCCAAAATCTCTAGTACTACAAAAAAGACAAAACCTGGGCTGGGGATTTAGCTCAGTGGCAGCACACCTGCCTTGCAAGCTCAAGGCCCTGAGTTTGATTTCCGATGGGGGGGATGGGGGGGATGGGACGACGGGACTTGAAGGCAAAATTTCTGTTTATGACAGTAGCTCATTCTGTTAAACATAGCAGCGATCTCACTGACCTGAAAAATTCACTATTTCAGTATTTAAATTTTTTGTTTTGCTTTCTTTTGAAACAGGGTCTTACTATTTAATTTAGGCAGGCCTTGAACTCACTATGTAGCCCAGGCTGCCCTCAAACTCACAGGGGATCACAGGGCTGCACCACCACACCTGGCTTCATAATTGAACTTTTAGTAGTAACTTAAAATGTACAGTGTTAAATACTTGTTACTGCTTTTTAATTTCTACTTTTTTTTTTTTTTTTTTTTGATTACTGGGGATCGAACTCGGGTCCTTGAGCTTGCAAGGTAGCCGGTGGAACCACTGAGCTAAATCCTTGGCCCATAATTTCTACTTTAAAAAATTCCATTTTGGGGGCCAGGGATTTAGCTCAGTGGTACCACACCAGCCTCACAAGGGCAAGGTCCTGAGTTCTATCCCCAGCACCAAAAAAAAAAGATTTCCATTTTTGAAAGTAAAATAATGATTTGCCATAGTTATAATAGAAGAAATACACACATGATCTACAGGTGATGTTGCTGGTGTGGTTTGAAGGCTTTAACCAAGGGTGCTGAGTTCTAAGCTGGGCACTTTCATCATTGCTTTCCCCACATGCCTATTAGAAATCACTTAGGAACCTTGGAAAAACTCTCAATACCCTGGCCCACCTCTAGGAATTCTGATTTAATTGATCTGAGATGGGGTCTGAGATCTTAAAGTTGAGAACCATTACTTTATGTACATTACCATTTAATTCTTAGTGCAGTTATGAAGACAGGTTTGTCGGTGAAGCTGTGTGGGCCATTGTGGAAAATATAGAAACATAAGGAATTTATTATTTCATCATCCCACGCAGGAATTTTGAAAGATAGCTGAGAATAGTGTATTACAGTTTTGTATTGGTTTCTTTAAAACCGTAATTTATGTAGTAGTGGGCGTGTTCTCACATCATTAAAGATTTCATAGCTGGGCATCGTGACCCACACCTGTAATTCTAGCACTCTGTAAGGCAGAGGCAGGAGGATCACAAGTTTAAGCTCAGCCTGACTAATTTAGTGACTAATTAATAAAATTAAATATTTTATTTATTTATTTTTGAGACAGGGTCCTGCTGTGTAGCCCAGGCTGGCCTCAAACTCTCCTTGGAAGCCTGAGAACAGTGCCCTGTACAAATCTGTAATAGAGATAGGTGGACAGGAAAATGAGTACATACAGATGGTATTCTCTTTGGGAAGTTCTTTGCTATACACTGAGAGTTCTAAGAGTGCAAACTTTAGTTCAAACAGCAGAATCATTCTGGAAAGTCAGGCTTCTAACATAGAGTTGTTTTTAGGGAAACATTTAGAAATTTGAGTGCTGGGATTATAGGCTTATGTCACCCCACCTGGTTCTTTAAAAAAAAAAAAATGTAAAAAGCCTGGTAAATAGCTCAGTGTGAAAGCTCTGAGAAGTCGCTAGTAATGCTAAATAAATAAATTTTCATAAACAGCCATTTGTAGGGGTTCATACCTGTAATCCCAGCTATTTGGGAGGATCTCAAGGTTGAGGCCAGCTTGGACAACTAAGCAAGATGTCTCTTAAATTTTAAAAATCCTAGGGATTTAGCTTAGTGGTAGAGTGCTTTCCTAAAATGCACCAAGGCCTCAGTTCAGTCCCCAGTACTGCAAGATGAAAAAGATTTTTTTTCCAGTACTGGGGATTGAACCCAGGGCTTTTAAACTGAGCAACATCCCCAACTCTTTCTTTTAGATGTTTTTTGTTGTTGTTGTTGTTGTTTTATTTTGTTTTTATGAGGCAGGGTCTCACTAAGTCACTAATTATCCAGACTGGGCTTGAACTTTGGGTTCTCCTGCCTCACCCAGAGTCTAGGGATTACAGCTGTGTGCCACCACACGTGGCTAATCGTCTCATTTATTAACAAATTAATGTCTTAGAGAATTTTCTGTGCTCCTAAAGGTATTATTTCCCAACTTTTTATTTTGAAATTTTCAAATACAGAAATGTTGAAAGAGTATCATAGTGATTACTCAAATGCCTTTATTTGTGTTTTTTTTTGTTTTGTATCTTGTTTTTTGAGATAGGGTCTCACTATATAGTTCAGGTTGGTCTTGAATTCACTATGTAGCCCAGGCTGGCCTTGAACTCCCAGCAGTCCTCCTGCCTCAGCCTTCTGAGTGCTGGGATTGCAGGCATGCACCACCACCAGGCTTGATGAGGTTTTAAGATTTTGCCACATTTGCTTTCTCTCTTTCTAATTAGGTGGAAAGGTAGGACAGTCTTCCCAAACCATCATGACACTTACCTTTAAATGCTTCACCCTATTTCTTCTAAAAACTACACATTCTCCTATATAACCACAATACTGTGAATCTTCCTATTAGTGACCCATTTATTTGCGCTATGTAGTCTTCAGTTAAATTAAAGTAACCTCCTAGGCTTTAGCTTTCTTAATGAAACAATTGACAGTCCTAACTTCTCTTTGGGGGTTAGAGTATAAAAACTATTTCTTTGTGGCTTTCGGACACTAAATGAAAATGTCCCTAGCTTCCAGGCCATGAGACATCTATAGGGTCAAGAACATCTCACCTAGCCAGGGATTTAGCTCAGTGGTTCCACCGCCTGTCTTGCAAGCGCAAGGTCCCGAGTTTGATACTTGGTACCAAAAAAAAAAAAAAAAAAACGACATCTCATCTATTACTTCTATCCGAAATAAAATGTTGAGGACTGGGTAGGTGCAAAGGATATGCTCAAGGGTGTGCTGATGACCAAAGCCAGTGTCTTTTTCTTGGCTGGTAAATATTTGACATATGGCCCCATGAGCAGAACTTCATCTGTGTTAAAAGAAAGTTCTTCTGTTTTCTCCTTGTTGGTAATGGTGATGGCCCACTCTCAGAAAAGTTTTTTTGTTTTGTTTTGGTACTGATGATCGAACTCGGGTCCTTGTGCTTGCGCAGCAGGCAGCAAAACCACTGCGCTAAATCCCTGGCCCCTCACAAAAGTTTTAATGTTATCAGAGCTTTAAAAAAAAAAAAAACCTCAGAGAAAGTACAACTCAGGCACTGGCAGCATTAAATTATATTAATTAGCTTTCACACTTAGTAGTAAAATTTTTTTTTTTTTTTTTGGTCCTGAGGATGGAACTCAGGACCTTGTGCTTGTGAGACAGGTGCAGTGCCAGTGAGCTAAATCTCTGGCCCAGAGTCATTTTCTATTAAAAAATATTGCCAGGCTCGATGGTGCACGCCTGTAACCTCAGCACTCAGGAGGCTAAGGCAGAAGAATTGCCATGAGTTCAAAGCCAGCCTGAACTACATAACAAGACCCTGTCAGGCTGGGGATGTAGTTCAGCGGCACTGCACCTGCCTGACAAATGCAAGGCCCTGAGTTCAATTCTCCGTCCAAAAAAAAACCCTGTCTCACAAAACCATGAAGTACATGCTAAATAAATAAGTAGAGTATATTATTTTATAATGTGATGTTAGCCCTTATTAGAACATTTTTAGCACTAAATGTCTTAACTGGTGAGTGAGAAACCTAGTAAAATTTTGTCTCATGGGCTGGAGAACAGCTCATTGCTAGAGCAATTACCTAGCATGCGTGAGACCCTGGGTTTATTCCCCACACTGGAAAAAATAAAATAAAATTTTAATTTTTTGTTTTTAACAGTAGCAAAGTTTCACATTTATTAAAGGAAAGAGGGGCCAGGGATTTAACTCAGTGGTTCTGCCACCTGCCTTGCAAGCGCAAGGACCCGAGTTTGATCCCCAGTACAAAAAAAATAAAGGAAGGAAAAATAAACTGAACGGTAAGTGAAAAACAGACTTTGTAAAGTGAGTTTGGGCCAAGGAAAAAGGGAGGAAAAAAAACCAAATTAAAATAACCTACAGTGTAGGAGGAGCTACCATGAAGAGGCATGCTAGCCAAAACTGTTAAAGACAGCTTTCTGACCCTGTGGTCTTTATCTCTCTGCTGCAGATTCTCAACGGGAATTCAACAGTAGACCAGGAACAGGATATGTACCTGTAGAGTTCTGGAAGAAAACAGGTATGTGTGCCTGCTTATAGGCTGCATGTACTCACTAGCTTGTACAAACAGGGAACAAATACTGGGAGAAAAGGTTGGTAACTAGCCCTTTGGTTGTCTAATAAGCTCCTCCTCATGGAGTTCTTAGTTCATACTTCTCCCCCTCCAACTTATCCTGGGTTGCCTGTCTCGTTCCTTTGCAGGTCAGGAGTTTGGAATTGCTTCCTCTAGTCCCTTTACACACTTATACTGGGTCACACTGAGGCATGAAGTAACCAACTCTTCTCTCCCTTTTGATATAAGTTAATTCATTGCTGCCTGATCTCTTCACACTCTGTCACTACATCTGTTTCATTCTGCATTTGGCACAGTTCTTTATCCATCTGCTTTTCCCACCCCCACCCCCACCCTATTTTTTAAAAAAACACTGTTCTTGGTAGGCCTTCTACCAGAATAAAGGAGGGTGAGGACTGCCGGCTCCAATAAGATAAAGGATATAACTAGCCCCAAATCATTAATGTTACCCTTATCCAAATACTGTCCTTCTTTTCCCAAAGTTTTTTTATTTGTTTATTTTGATTTTTTATTCCAGTATCAGGGATTGAACTCAGTACCTTGCACTTGCAAGGCAGGCTCAGTGCCACTGAGCTAAATTCCCAGCCCCTTTGTTTTTGTTTTGTGAGACAGAGTCTCACTGTGTAGTCCAGACTAGCCATGAACTTACATTATAATAGGCCAGGCTGGCCTTGAACTCAAAATCCTCATACCTCAGCTTCCGTAGTGTGAGATTACAAGTGTACCTACCATCCGCAGCTCCCTGAAGTCTTTTGTTGTTGTTGTTGTTTTGTTTTGTTTCTTGAGACAGGGTCTCACTATATAGTTTAGGCTGGTCTTGAACTCATTATGTAGCCCAGGCTGGCCTCGAACTCTCGGCAATCCTCCTGCCTCAGCCTTCTGAATGCTAGGATTACAGGCATGCACCATTTAAAGTCTTAAAATACAGTTATTGACACCATTTTAGACTACTTTGTCGATGACTGATTAATTCATCAGAGGTTTATGTAAGCAATTAAGTATTATCCACATTAAATAATTGTAATTCTTCATTTTCATGCTTTTGCATGCTTCCTTCCAAAAGGAAAAGTTCTAGACTTAAACATAAATGTATATGATACAAATTGTATATGTGATGGGGTGTAGCTCAGTCTTTGAGTGTTTCCCTAGCATGTGACAGGCTCTGAGTTTAGTCTTTCAGCACCATCCTCCCCAGCACAAAAAGTTTTAAGTATATTATTTTAAGTTTTAAGTATATTATTATTTAGTATATTCTCAGGGTAAGGGAGAAGCAACCTGGAACATGCCCAAATATTTATGAGTAGTTACATTAATTTACAGTTTGATTACACAACAAAATACTATTTTACCATGTAAAATAATTTTGAAAACTATGCAATTGGAAATGAGAAAATGTAGATTATATTGTTAGTAAATGGAATAGAATTGTGGGAAATGAAGATAATCATAAGGTAGAGAGAAAGATTACCATGTACATGATCTTCAAATAAGTGGCTTTGATTACTTGGGAAGAACCTTGAATAACTATGGTTAAGAGCCCAACTTACTCTACTGAGAGAGCTGAATCCTTGCTATGCTGCAGTGCCCCTGTTGTCTTAAATGGCTTCCAGGAAGATATCCAAATTGATTCTTAGTGCTTCATCCTTAAGCTATGAAGATAAAATGTATCAGAGGCCATGGTCCTGTAGGCTCAGTAAGTGACATTTCACACCTACGTGATATCAAGAGGCCTGGGAGGGTGACTGCGGTGGGCCATAGTGGACCTGTGCAGACACCTGGAGTCTTTGACCCCTGGGGTCAACACACACACACACACACACACACCCATACCAGGGATTGAACTCAGGACTTTGTGTTTCAAGGCAGGCACGGCCCCAGTGAGCTAAATCCCTGGCCCAAGACTTTCTTTTCTTAAGGCTGCTGCAGTAAGATAGAAAGTTCTAGCACAGTAGCCTAGAACATTGTTTCAACTTTCTTTGAGTCTGAGTTGTGTGCAAGAGCCAAGCTATAAGGGAGTTCCTTAGGAATCTGGGTTATCTTGTGTTGTACACTTGTGGGAGGTTTTTCACATTTTCATTGGGCTGAGCAGCATGATGGGATGGAAGGAAGTGATCAGAAACCAAGCAAAGGGATGAAGATGGGCCAGAGTTTGCAACCCCAGGGTTCCTGGCAGCCTTCTGAAGTTTGTATCTTCAGCCCCAAGTTTCTCTACTGTGCTCCATCTCAACCATCTCATTTGCTTCCACACCAGCTTTCTGCATATTGCCATTCATTGCCCAGCACTACCATTCTCCTTTACCTTCACATCCAGACCCTTCAGTGCTACCACCTTTCTTCTGACACTTCCTTTTCTGGGTGCTACTTGCTTCTCCATAAATTCAGAATCTCTGCCAGCAGAATCGCTGCTCCAACCTCCCAGTTACTCTTTTTCTTCTTGCATGGAATACTTTGGGGCAGAGACCACCAGTCTTTTAGAGCTTTCAGTGATACAGATAGTCCACCTTGGCACTCGTGTCATAGGTTCACCACCACAGCTTTAGAGGATTCACATTTTGTTTAGCTAATAAGGCCAAAAAGAAGCTGTGCGAGACTTTTCCAATAAACTTCATTTCCACCTACCATCTCCACCAAAACATATTTCTTTAATCTTTCCCTGCCCTTGTAGAGTTGACCTCTTTTCTCCATGGAACTCTCCTATTTTAGTGTCATGTATGATGGCACCTAAGCCACTGTTATAATTTGATCACCAACAGGAGAGGGTGGATAATGTGTAATTACCTATGTATCCCCAGCCCTAGCACAGTGGCCACCTTAGTCTTCATGTCTAACACATGACTGTACAAATGAACAGCACAACTGTGAGAATAAGTGTGTATGCATATACCATGTGTTCACACCTACATATCTTATTTCCACTCTCTCCATTCTTAGAAATGCTGTAGGGTGGGAAGGGAAAGATTTCTCGGCCAGGTGATTTTACTGTCACTTTCTTCTAGAAGAAGCTGTGAATAAAGTGAAAATTCAGGCCATGTCTGAAGTACAGAAGGCTGTTGCTGAGGCTGAGCAAAAAGCTTTCGAAGTGATTGCAACAGAGAGAGCTCGAATGGAGCAAACCATAGCAGATGTCAAACGACAGGCTGCAGAGGATGCCTTCCTCGTCATCAATGAGCAAGAGGAGTCCACGGAGGTCAGAGCTCTGTTAGGTCCTGGGGCTGAGGCTGCCAGCTGAGGGAGCACACCCACTACTTACCTCAGTGCTGGGCCCGATGTTTTAGTTTTCACTTTGGGACTCTACATACCAGTCTGATGAGTGACTGTCACATATACGTCATATATACGTAAACATATGCATATATCTATACACACACTACGTGCATACATACATACATATATATATATATATATATATATATGGAGTTTAGGGGTTTGGCTTTTGGTTTGGGGGTATTTGTTTATTTGTTATTTTAGGTTTGTTTGTTTGTTTTTCATACTGGGGATCGAACTTGGGACCTTGGACTTGCATGGCAGGTGGCGGAACCACTGAGCTAAATCCCCGGCCTGTTATTTTAGTTTTGAGACAAGGTCATGCTGAGTTGCCCAGATTGGGCTCAAATTTGTGGTCTTCTTGCATCACCCTCCCAGAGTGCTGGTATTACAAGCATGTGTCACTGAGACCAGATGGTTTTTTATTTTTAAATAAACAACAGAATGGTGAAGATGGTGGCACAGACCTGTAATCCCAGCACTTAGGAGGCCAAAGCAGGAGGATCGCTCTGAGTTTTGAGGCCAGCCTGGGCTACATAATGAGTTTAAGACCAGCCTGAACTACATAGTGAGACCTTGTCTTTAAATAAAGGAATGAATGAATAGAATTTTATATTCTCATCATATTTAAATGATCCACTTCAGTATAATAATACCAAACGTGATTATGTAAAGATAAAAATGGCCTAAATGTCCTATGCTGTCACAGAGGATGTGTTAACATGCATTATGGTGGCACTCTAAGGAAGATACTATGAATGTTGAAATACAGTTCCTTCAAACATCTCCTTTTTTCTTTTCCCAACTTTTCCTATAGAATTGGGGGGGGGGCTATTTTTGAGATACTGGGTATTGAACCCAGGGTCTTCACACTGAGCTACAATCTCAGCCCTTTAATATTTTTACTTTTTTCTTTTTGTGATAGTCTCTAAGTTGTTCAGGCTGGACTTGAGCTTGGGATCCTCCTGAATGTGCAGCTTTCGAATTGCTTTTGAGCCTAGATATATCTTCTACTGTTCCTGTGTTTCTGTATTTATAGCCATTTGTATCAATACCTACATTTGCCTGTTTATCTAATTTTATATCTGTGCTCTGTGTGTGTGTGTGTGTGTGTGTGTGTGTGTGTGTGTGTGTGTGTGTGTGTGTGTGTGTGTGTGTGTGTGTGTGTAGGTTGAACAACATAAGGGACTCTTGCATTCCAGACAAGCATTGTACCATTGGGCTATATTCCCAGCCCTTTGTTGTTTTTTTGTTTTTTTGGTACCGAGGATCAAACTTGCAGCCCTTTGTGTTTAACTGTGTCAGTGTCCAAAGAAGGAATGTGGCCTTGGCTAAGAAGATGAGTTCTGGATCTGGCCTGTGTAGGCTTAAGACCCAGCTCTCCATTTAGAGGATTGTGCCTTTAAGAAACTGTAATTAAAAACAGTTAACTGTACATTATATACATTAACAGTTAATTATAAACAGTTCACCAAGTGGGGGGCAGGTGAAGTGCTTGCCAGCATCTATCCGAGCAAGCTTGCTTTCCAAAATACGACAAGGACAGAGGGGCTGATTTTTCATTGAGTTTGTGTTGGACCAGGATGGGTGATTCTTCTCCATTTCATCTAGAAAATTCTTGATGTTTAACATATGTCCCTGGAGTTTCTCCTTCATTTTGTGAGAAGCTGCTGTCTAGTGTGGGGAAGGACTAGAGGTTGGAAACCCCTAAGACTAGAGGGGAGTCCAAGCCTCCCCTCACAGTGGCAGTGCACCCTCAAGGAGCCAGCCTCCTTCTCTGTACCATGCAGGTCACAGCCCCTGCCCTTGGCTTCATAGTTTTTAGAAAAGTAAAACAAGGCAATGCTGGGCCGGGGATTTAGCTCAGTGTTTCCGATGCCTGCCCTGCAAGCACAAGGACAGGAGTTCGATCCCTGGTATCAAAAAAACCCCCCCAAAACAAGGCAATGCTGTGGCATCTCCTCACACAGCACAGGCCCAGACCAGACCCAGCTTCTCCCTATAGTGCCTGGGGGTGGAGGGACAGTAAGAGGTCTCCTTGTCTCTGCTATGGGGCTTGTTTTGTCTCCTCTACTTTCCTGACAAACATAATGGGTTAGCAACCAACCGTGAAATGGGGGTTCTTTCTTCTCTGCGCCAAAATTGCAGTGAGGTCAGGGAGGTCTAAGATAGGTCCCAGGGATTTTTTTTATTTTTCTTTTTATTAGTATGTGTTTATACTACATAATGATTATATTTGGTCCCAAGAGTTTTGACAAGTCCTTGTAGTTTGGGGGTTTGTTTTTTGAGACATAGTTTCCCTATGTAGTTTAGGCTGATCTTGAACTCACTGTATAGCTCAGGCTGGCCTTGTACTCAGTGATCCTCCTGCCTCAGCCTCCCAAGTGCTGGCATTACAGGCAGGCACCACCATATCCAGCTAAGCCCTGAGAGTTCTGATATACCATAGGTGGGTCCTGCGCCCTACTTAGAGTAATGCTGACATAACTGATGCTCCCTGCTTGACAAAGGAAGTTTTGTTTTTTAGGGGTATTTTTGGTACTGGGGATCGAATTTGGGACCTTGCGCTTACGAGGCAGGTGCCAGAACCGTGGAGCTAAATCCCTGGCCCTTATTTTATTTTATTTTTTTTTATTTTTGGTTTCTTAAGACAGGGTCTCACTGTGCAGTTCAGTCTGGTCTTGAATTCACTATGTATCCCAGGCTGGCCTCTTCGTGGCCATCCTCCTGCCTCAGCCTCCTGAGTGCTGGGTTTATAGGCATGCATCAGCACACCCAGCTGTCAAACGAAGTGTTGAAATCATCTATCTTTCTTTCTTCCTTTCATTCTTTCTTTTTTTGTGTGAGACAGGGTCTTGCTATTTAGCTCAGGCTGGACTTGAACTCACTATGTAGCCCTGGTTGGCCTCAAACTCATGGTGATCCTCCTGCCCCAGCCTCCTGAGTGCTGGGATTACAGTTGTGCGCCACCATGCTCGTCATTGAAATCGTATTTCTGACTTCTGTTCCCACAGCTAAGGTTTATACCTTTTCCCCATTAACCACAGTCTTTTTGTCAAGACTGTGGTTCCATCTTTGAGGAAGGTTGATTTAAGAGTGACTACAATAGTCAATTTTTTGTCTTACATTTTTTTTTTTAAAGAAGGCTCTCACTATGTTGTCCAGGCTGGCCTTGAATTCCTGGACTCAAGTGATCCTCCTACCCCAGCCTCCTGAGTATCTGGGACTGTAGGGACCAGCCACTCCACCCAGCTTTGTCTTACATCTTGGCAAAAAATTCTCTCCTGGAGCAATTCACTTTCCAATTATCCGTACTCATCCTGAGTACCTATCTGCCATGTCTGTCCTCCCTCCTCCTTTTTTTTTTTTGTACCAGGAATCGAACTCAGGTGCAGTGCCACTGAGCTAAATCCCTGCATGGCCCCCCCCTTTCAAATAAATTGTCTTCTTTTATTTATTTATTTTTTTTAAAAAGGGCCAGGGATTTAGTTCAGTGGCACCGTGCCTGCCTCAAAAGCACAAGGTCCTGACTTCAATCCCTGGTCCCATAAATTTTTTAAAAATATTTTAAATTAAAAAAATAAAAATCTCTCCTGGTTAAGTCAGCGGAAAACCAAGAGGAGGAGAACATGAAACTGTCCTTTTCACCCCTGGCTCCTCAGATACTAACCACATTATTCCTGGATTTCTATGAGCCTACCTCTGTGGAGGCTGTTTACTTTGTTTTACTGTATTTCATAAATCTTGAAATAAGCCATTTAAAAAAATAATGGCATTGGCTGGGGATTTAGCTCAGTGGTTCTGCTGCCTGCCTTGCAAGCACAAGGTCCTGAGTTCAATCCCCTGTACCAATAATAATAATAATAATAATAATAATAATAATGGCAGCCAGCCAGAATGAAAGTAGCAGAGGTTTGATACTCTGACCCAGTTCATTTTTTTTTCTTTTTGTCCACACCTAGGTATTCCACGACTTAGCTATATCCCCAGCCCCTACCCCCCACACATACTTTTTAAGTTTGAGATAAGGTCTCTCTAAGTTGTCGAGGCAGGACTTGAACTTACCATCTTCCTGACTCCACTTCCCTAAGTGATGGGATTACAAGTAGTGTGCACTACTGTGCCTAGCTGTGGATCCAGTTCTAAGATGCTCTTGCAGACTGACTGAGGGAGGTGAGTCTTACACATCCTTTTGGCAGCAGTGTGTGTGGGTAGCAGCTGGCTTCTGCCCCATAAGTGACAATGCACTTCTGCCCAAGCATTGTTGGGAGGCATCTTACTGGACTGGACAGAAGGGAATTCTCTAGAAGACAGTTTGCTGGAGGGCCTGTTAACGTAGCCTAAGAATTACATCTCCATTTTATTTGTTTTGTTTTGTTTTGTTTTTTTGGTACTGGGGATCGAACTCGGGTCCTTTTGCTTGTGAGGCAGGTGGCAGAACCACTAAATCCCCAGCTAAATCCCCAGCCCACATCTCCATTTTATTCACCTGGTGTTGGTGTTTGCAAGTTTCGATGGTCCCTAGAGTGTGTTTACTGGGAAGCCTGTGTTAGAAGGGAATCTGAAGTTGTCTTAATGTGGTTTGAGACCATACTTGTACAGAGAGTGTTGCAGCATCGGGAGTTTCAGGTCCCAGACTTTGCACAGGCCCTTGATCATTTCATAACCTTAGCACATCTGGCCCTCAGTTTTCCCATCTGTACAGTGCAAGAGGTGGCCCAGGGGCCCCCAAAGTCCTGTCGTTTCTCATTCTGTTCATAGGGTGGACAGGGGTCTTTCTTTACTGCACACTACCACAGCCAGGCCTCTGATTGGCTTCTGTTGTTGTAACATTCTTGTGGACAAGAAGACTGGCTACCAGGTCCTTCCCAGTGGCTGCACCTGGGCAGTGCTGTAAAGCTTTTTCCTTAGCAGTGGGTCCTGGAGCACTTGGGTGCAGACTCTCATGTCAGGGGCAGAATCGTCTTAGAGCCCATAGTGGCCGCTGCACTGTGCCCACATTTATTCTCAGTTATTCCTCTTAGCTGACTTGGGGAGACATCATGTTATCTGTTCCCTGACTATTTCTACTGTTGCTTTTATGGCTGCTACTTCGAGCTGTCACCAAGCCTCACTTGGATCCTGCCTTCTGTAATAGAATTCAAGCATTCTGAACTGATGCAGTGTCCCAGTGGTTTCTGCTGGGCCATAATGGGGAACCTGCCCCATTATGAGAAAATACAGGTAGTGAGAAAACTCCCAGAGCTGAACTTTTAGGGCCCTGAGTGTGCAGTACCCCTGGGGACAGGCCTACAATTTTCCCAATACCACCCCATGTATGAATAGTCAAGTCAGCAAAAGAAACAGGCACCTAGGACAAAGGAAGGAGCACATCCAATTACCTTCTCTTTACACATTCTACTTCTTTGGCAGATGACATTTTGGAAAAGTAGCTTTGCCTATATTCCTTTAAAACTCTTTGTTAAAAGATCAGATATTAGCCTGGGATTTAGCTCAGTGGTGCCACCACCTGCCTCGCAAGCGAAAGGTCCTGAGTTCAATCCCTGGTACCAAAAAAAAAGTCAAAACAAAAAGATTAGATATTATCAATAAAAACAGTAATAACTGTTCCTTTAATGGGAGGAGCAAGAGAAAATATTCAAGCATATGAATGGATATGTGATCTTAGGATGATACCTGTGGCAGAGGGACCCTGGGAGTTTGGTTTGGTCTCTGAGGATTAAAATAAGAGCCCCCCAAAAAATGAGTCTATGCCTTATGCAGGCAATAAGGACCACCCTGCCCAGGCTGGTGCTGGGGAAGGCGTCTTCAAATATGCTCCTATCTCACTGTCCTATGAGTAGTTTTCCTGTTGTACAGGTACTGGGGGGAGAGGGGGTTCCATGGTTAAACAGCAGGAAAGGCAGATTTCAGCTGCAGGTAGGTAGCTTCAAGCCCCTGCTTTACCATGTAAGTGATGAGTGACAAATGAGTCTACAGCTTGTTCCTAGCAACCACTAACCTATGCCTCTTGTTTTGCAGAATTGCTGGAACTGTGGCCGCAAAGCCAGCGAGACATGCAGTGGCTGCAATATTGCGAGGTACTGTGGCTCTTTCTGCCAACACAAGGACTGGGAGCGGCACCACCGCCTCTGCGGCCAGAGCCTTCATGGTCAGAGTCCCCACAGCCAGAGCCGACCGCTGCTGCCCGGAGGGAGGGGCTCCTCAGCCAGGTCCACTGACTGCAGCGTGCCCAGCCCAGCCCTGGACAAGACCTCAGCCACCACCTCACGTTCCTCAACACCTGCCTCTGTGACAGCCATCGACACCAATGGACTCTGAGCCCCACACTCCACTGACCCTGATGACCCCTCCACACAACAGATCTTTGCATGGGGGTTGGCTATTGGAGCATGTAGCTGTTGGATCATCCATAGGAAATGAAGCAGCGACAGGACTCATCCAAGCAGTGTGGGCCCCACCCCACCTCCCTGGAACTTTCCATCTGTGTCCTTGGTGGAAGTAGTGTGCCATGCTCTCTGCACAAAGGCAGCCTGCCTGAGCTGTCTCCTCCATGGCTTTCCTAGTGTGCTCCTCTCCCACTGAAGCTGGCAAAGCCAGCCCTTGGCTGTGTAGACCACCAGCTCACCCTGCCTCCATGAGTCAACAGACTATCAATGTGACCAGCCAGGCTGGCAGCAGACTGAGGAGGAGGCCCCCTTCCCTCTTGAACAGTTCCTTGAACCCCATTTCCACCCTCAGCAGGTGACGCTGATTGGCCTCTTGGGGACTTGGGTAGGCAGAAGCAGTACTCAGGACTCCCTTCTCAACCCTGCTGTTCCAACCTGTTAAGATGCTCAGAAACAATAGGAAAGAAACTACCACTTTAATAAAAACACCATAATAATAAAAAGAAATAAATCTTCCCCACACATCACAGATCATTTTGGACAAGATTTTCCAACCCAACTGGCTACTTTAGTTTGGAACCCATTTTTGTACCCTCCCTCACTTGATTTTGCTTGTGCAGAAGTTAATTTTCAGCACATGGATTGATCTGAGAGAGAAAGAGACTCCTTTGTGTTAGTCTTTTCTCTCTGAGCATGTTGGCCAGACTAGCAACATCCAGTTACTGAGTGGATCATCTCTTGGAAATGCAGAACCCTCTGCCACTGCTTGACTGTTTGCCTAGTCATCTTGTTCTTTGTTCTTCTATCTCTCAGACCACGTCTGGATCACCATGACGTCTTCTGCCCATCGGCTCTGTTTGGCCCCGTAGGCTACAGTTGTCCCGCTGATGTGCTGTAGTGTGTCAGCAGGACTTGCCCCACTTGTCAAGGCCTGGTTTCATCTGAGTAGTAACCCTGGACCTGAAGGAATCCCTCAGACCTCGTGGTTTCATAGCCTTCTACCTGCTGCATTGATTCATTTTCAAGCACACAATTTCCCTTAGGTTTTCTGAAACCTTTCCCCTGAGCTCAGAAAGGTTCTTTGAAGTGTGGGAACCATTTGTAGAAGGCTGACAAATTTTTATTCCCATTTCCAGGGATTTTTCTAGCTACTTACTTGGCTGTCCAAACATGATTTTACTGTACCCTTGCAGAGTGTTTGGGCACTGTCTCATACACATCCCTGCCATTTAGGGAACCTAGGGTCCTACCCCGTGGAGGTAGTTAGGGTGAGTTGGTGGCTCTGCCCCTGCTGGCCTGTGAAAGCCACGATCTGATCACTGCCCTCAGTGCACAGACTGAGTCTGAAGTAAAAGCTCCGTTCCTTAAAGGAATGGGATCGACACAGGTGGCATTTTCCTTGCATACAGGTGTGTCTCTAAAAACTTAAGTCCCCGATATACTTTGACCAAGGATTTTCAATTTTACAAAGAAACTTGGAGAAGGGTATTGTGGTCCATGCCTGTAATCCTAATCCCAGCCCTGAGATGCTGAGGCAGAAGGATTTCAAGTTTGAGCCTGTGCTGGGCGATTCAGCAATTTAGTGAGATCCTGTCTCAGAATTTTAAAAAGGGGGACACGTGCGGATGTAGCTGTGTGAAGGCTGTAGCTTCAATCCCCAGTACTGCTCAAAAAGGGGAGAGGGGAAACACAACTCAATACAAGACACCTTTATTTTTTGAGTTTTTTTGAGATGGGGTCTCAACTATTGTAATTCAGGCTGGCCTCAAACATGCAGCAGTCCTCCTGTCTCAGCCTCTCCCCAGTGCTGGGATTACAGAAGTATACCACCATACCCAGCTAAGGCACCTGTAAAATACTTAGATTTCCGTTGCCTAAGGTAAGGAACTCAGAGAAAGAATAGAGAATGGTGTTGCTTTGCCAGGGAACACCTAAGACCCTCTGTCTTCCATTCTCCAGGCACAGCTGGACCTCCCCAGCTCCCTGCCTTCTAGAGCCTCAGCAGCTGGGAGAAGCCTGGCTTTACCAGGCATGGAGTCAGTGCCCGGACAGCACTTGGCCATAACACATGTGTATCTCCTAAGAACACCAGGGAATGTCTAAATCAGTTAGAGCAAGAAGGTGTCTTACTGGGTACACTGGATCTGTCCCTAGTTTGCTGTTTTTTCATCAGGAATTTGAATGAACATCTTAGGTTTTCTAAATGTTTTGGGGTTTGTTTGGGGGTTTTTTTGATACCGGGGATCGAACTTGGGTCCTTGAGCTTGCGCAGCAGGCAGCAAAACCACTGAGCTAAATCCCCGGCCCAGGCCCATGGTTTTCTAAATCTTAACTGGCCCCATGACCAGCCAAAAATGCTCAGGTTTTTAATTGGTTGGAATAAAGAGCCAAAACCAACAAAATAATACTTACCAGGGATCAAGGCCAATTTCTTCAGTTAAGATTTAGGGTCCAGGGCCTGCCCTACTTTTGTGAGCTATAGGTCTAGTTTTTGTTTGAAAGTTTGAAAGGCTGTTCTAGACTGCTTTACTTGTATGCTACCTAGAAGCCCCTGTAGGCCTGAGCAGTGTCCACAAAGTTGAGCTCTCAGGCCTCTTGTGCTACTCCTGGTCAGGTCACACACATGTCACTTGGGCATCTGTCCAGAGGTTTGTCTTCAAAATTAAAAGAATCCTTTTCAATGTGATTCCCAAATTCTCTTCACTCCCCAGCCAGGAGGAGGACCAGCTTCCCCATTTGGTCTCCAGTTCTGCTGGTGCCACTCCAGCTACAAGGTTAGGAGTAGATCCAAAGGCTTCACACACTCACCTACACTAGGATTTAAAAGCAAAAGCATCAGAATAATCAGGCTACTCAGAGCCCATTTTCTTATAGGTTGGGGAGTGGCACAAGGGTGGCAGGTCAGTCTCGGGCTCTTCGATAGTATCCTAGAAACCCAAAGCAAAGAGCATCTCTGGAGTGTGAGGCCAGTGCTCACCATCACCCACTGAGGGACAATGATGAGTAGAGGGACTTCCTAGTCCCCTGCTAAGTGAGGACTGGCTGCAGGAACCAGAGAACTCCAAAGCTAGCCAAATCGGGAGCCATCTTTATATGTCCCAAGGGGCTAGGTGTGGTAGCACACCTGTAATCCTAGCACTTGGGAGGCTGAGGCAGGAGAATCACAGCAAGTTTGAGGCCATCCTGGGTAACCTAGTGAGTTCAAGACCAGCTAAACTACATAGTGAGACCCTATCTCAAAAAAACAAATGTCCTGAGGGATGCTTGAAGGCAGGGTATTCCCATCTTCCTTTGTGCTCTGGCTCCCCACTTGGCTGCACCATGCCTTGTGCAGTGGGGAAGAACTTCAAGGCCACCTGCTTGGAAACAGGCAGTCCACCCTGCAAGGTGTGAGACTCTACCTTTGAGATTCCCTGCATCTCCAGGGCTGAAGCCTCAGCAGATCTCAGGTAAGCACAGGTTGGGTTGACCTTTCCTAGGGAATTGTGTGGAGTCATGTCTGCCAATGGATCTGCATCTGGAAACCAGATACACTTGCCAGTGACTGGTCTGCACTTGGCATTAGCTGCTGCCCTCTGCAGTATGGGCTCCTTTGCCCATCTGGTCCAGTTGGCCCCCCAAGAGTTCGTCACCATTGGCAAGTCAACATTTTGCTTTGTACAGTCCTGTCCCAAAGTTGACGTGATCCCCAGCCTTGTCACCTGCTCACAAAGGATGTAGGTAGTTCTGGAAGATAGCTCCGCAAATGTGTTCGAAGGTTCAGCAGCACAATTGGAACTGTGTGGTAGTGAGTTCTACAGGCAGAAAGCATAAAGAATGACCAGATGGCCATTTGTCCTTGAAACTGAAGAAAGGCTGAAGATTAAAGAAATCATTCCAAATAGGACACAACTTGGAGCCTTTCTTCAGAGCTGAACTAGAACCATTGTGTCCAGGCTCCCTGATCAGGAGACCAAGCCAACTTTCTTAGATGGTTTTTAGTTCTTTGCAGAGAACTGAGTGGTGGCACGTTTGAACCAAATGTGAGAAAGACTTTGGCTGTTCCAGCATAGGCCAGATGGCCAGCTGTCAGAGAAGATCCCTGCCCTGGCTGGGCTGGGTACTTGGCCAGCTGGTAGGCAGGTCCCTTCTGACTCTTGAGAGTAGTTCTTGTGAAACCAAAATGTTGGCTACCTGCCTCTTGCCCCTGGGCATTTGACATGCTCACTTCCAAAGACAATGGAGCAGGTGACCTTTCCCACCATGAGGTAGGAGAGGGTTGGGAGGTCTGAAAGCCTGATTTGACAATTCACCTACCCTCCACAGCCCCAAGATGGCATTTCTCATGCAGAACTGGTCTGGTCAGACCTCCAGCTGCCCAGTGTATACTTTCATTGATGCTTATACCAAATAGGGCATTGCAGCTGGTGTCTTGGGGCAGCCCTGTCCCTGCCTTGGAGTCAGCAGAGAGAAGAAGCAGCAATAAGCATTCAGTGAAAGGGCTGTTTGGCTAAAAGGCCTTCAGTCCACTTACGTGGCTTTCAGAATTCCTGAGAGGCCACAAAGACTTCGTCTGTAAAAAAAACCAATAGTGTCAATAAAGACAAAACTGAGCCTCCACAAGTGGTTTTCAAAGGAGGGTGATGAATGTCAAACCACCCACAGGATGCATTAGAGTCCGGTTTTTCTGTGCTTTATCATTTTACTTTGATAGGAAGTTTTGTTACTTAACTCTGTGCATAACTTATTTAATGTACTGTATAAATGAACCAAAACCATTATATATGTATTTAGTTTGTTCTACTGAAAGTAGTCAATAAAAGGCTATATTCCTTTTCTGACTCAAGCTAGACTGACCCTGGGAGGGAAGGTATTATGTCCCCTCCCCCTGGTTCCCAAGTCTTCTGGGAGAGGGGCTCTAACTGTTCCTTCTGTGGTCTAAAGAGCATCAGGGGCCTGAAAGCAGAAAGCAGAAGATGGCTCCTACCTACAGCCCTACAGGGCCTGCAACCATGGGCTGTGGGAGGGGGTGACAACGCTGCCAGTCATGTGCCATCGCCATCTGAGACGCTCCAGGTTCCTTGTTTTCCCACTGCCAAGTGATTGGGGTGAGGAGCTGGGGGTGGAACCCAGGGCCTTGAACAAGGCAAGTGTTCTACCACTGAGCTACACTCCCCATTTTACTTTGAGACAAAGTTCTTTGCCGAATTACCCAAGCTTGACTGGAACCTGCAATCCTACCTCATCTTTCTGAGTAGATGGGATTACAGCCATGCACTACCATTCCTGGCTTTAAGTGATTTTTTTGTGTGATGTTTCTTTGTTTTGTTTGTTTTTGTTTTGTTGTTGTTGTTGTTGTTGTTGTTTTTGGTACCAGGGATCGAACTCTGGACCTTGCGCTTGTGACCCAGGTGGCGGAACCACTGAGCTAAATCTCCAGCCCCTGGTTTTGGTTTTTTGAGACAGGCTCACTTTGTAGTGCAAGCTGGCCTTGAACTCACTATGTAGCCCACGCTGGCCTCGAAGTCTCAGCAATCCTGCCTCACCCTCCCAAGTAATGAGATTATAGATGTGAGCCACGACACCCAGCTTATGAAATTTTGATACTCATTAATATACTTGGACTTGTTAGTATTTGTCCTTTTTGCACTTATGTTAAACCATAAGTAATTTTGGGGGGGGTTACTGGGGATCGAACTCAGGACTTTGCACTTGTGAGCCAGGTGTCGGAACCACTGAGCTAAATCCCTGGCCCTGAACCATAAGTAATTTCACTGTTACCTTTACATTTATTTGCTAAATGGTGGCATCACTTGAGGCCATAATTTTCTTCATACTTTCTCTCACAACTGGACTGCTTCCACTTCCTCCACGTATGACTTACTGATGTGAACATCTTCTGAGTCCCTTATTTCCTTAGGATAATTTTCCCAAGTGGAATTTCTACTAGTGAGCATTTCTTGCATTCTTGAAAGTGTTTGCCTTCACTGGAAGCCAGCATCTTACAGTGCCTCTCCAGGCTACAGGTAGATGGTGTACTTACTGTGGCCCTGAGATTGGTGCGGACGTGACTGCATATTGTGTAGTCTTGGCTGTCTGCTTAACGAGCTAGTGAGCTGGGCTTTGCTTCCCAAGCCCTGGTCCCAGCCTCATACCTGTTGCTGGAATACTTTTCAGTGCCCTCTGCCCTCCACCCCGCCTTTCCAGAGTGGCCCTGCCCAAGGAAGGGGCTTATTGGCATTACCAGGTTCCCAAACCTCCCAGAATGCAGACTTGGCGTTGATTACCAGGTGTGGGGTGGGGAGAAGGGCTGGCTGGTGGCCTTGTTTCGCAGGGACAATGTGGGGACTTGGCTGTGTGATCTTCCATGTAGGTAGTGCAGCCACTAGCCTTTCTCAGTTGGGCTGCATCTCACCCCACCAAGAGCAATGACAGGAGCCCAGTGGTGGAACCGTCGCCTTAGCAAAAGAGCTCTGTGTATGAGGCAGTTTGCCATAAAAATGGCAGACGAGGGTCGGGGATTTAGCTCAGTGGCACCATATCTGCCTTGCAAACACAAGGTCCTGAGTCTGATCCCTGGTACCACAAAAAGAAAAAAAACAAATGGCAGACATTTCATTACCACAAAACACCCAGATGCCAGATAAATTACAATGAATGTACTTTTTGACTGCACTACTGAGATCACAGATGAGAAAATACAGGAATCCCCAATGCCCAGAAATAAGAAAAAGCTCAAACCACCGAGATAGTCGGATACAAAAGAAATCTGGGTCAGAGGTGTAGCCTAGTGGTGCAGCACCTACCTGGAAAGTGCAAGGCCCTGAGTTCAATTCCGGGTACCAAAAAGAAATATTTGCTGCTTGGGGAAAAACACTCTTGAGGACTCAGTTTGAGAGATGGACTGCCTGGGGACAGAGAAATGCGAAAGGGCTCTGAGTCCTGGCTCCCAGCTCCCTGAAGCCTGTGAAAAGGCAGCAGGGATAATCTTCCTGTCGGCAATGGGAGCCAAACTGGAGACATTTCTGCCCCTGTGTGAGAGTAACTAGGAGAACCTCACCGGAGTCTAATCTTAGGCCTGCTCTCTCCTGGGCCGGGCTTCGGGTTTTCAGTACTTCACCTTGCCCAACTGTGCATGTTTCTGTCTGCCGGTATTTCAAGGTGGTGCACGCCACGCGGTGTATACCCGCCCCCGTGAGCCCTTCACGCCTCATTGGCTTCATTGCCTAGCCGGGCGCCCTCTGGTGGACAGAGATGGACTTGCTGTTTCCATCTAAGAGCCAGATTCCTACCCAGGATGACACTGAGCTACTTTTGTCTTCCTTTGTGCACTAACCTTTTCTGAGACCATCTTTCTGCCCCACGAGTTCAGACAATGTTCTCAGGGTACCTGCTACGGAGTTCCAGAAATGATCAGGTGTTTCCCTGCCTCCCACCTTCCAAGCTCTCCCACTTTCCAGTGCTCTAGGCTCCCATAGGATCCAAGGCCCGACCTCACTGGCTTCTTCTGTCATAGTGGCCCCTGCGTTTCCGGCACCAGAGGATCCACTCAACGTTTTTTACTTTTGGCGGCAAGTAGCAGTTGGTGCCAAGGAGGAGGTCCCCACTTTGTGACCAGGCAATGCACTTACTCTCTCTTCTGTAACTTGGGGCCATTGGCAATGCCTGTGCCCAGGGCTATTGTAAAGGTTAAATGTGAACTTGGGTGTCACCTCTAGCCTGGGTCTGGGCACCCAGGAAGCCTCTCTGTAAATAAGGTTGCCCTCATGTCCTGTTCCTCTCCCAGCCAACCTGTGACTCCTTGAAGGTTTATCTTTGTCCCCAGAACCTTACATGGAGCCCTTCATTTCAGCCTGTTAGAGGTCATCAAGGGGACTTGCTGTGCAGCTCTGTCTCTCAGAGGCAGGTATCTAAGCTGCTGCTGGCTCTCCAGCACCTGGCCTAGCACTGGGCCAGTCCCTAGGACAAGTTTGGCCACGTGCAGATGAGTCATGAGCACAGGTGTGAGGAGGATGGAGAGGCAGGTGCAAGGGGGGGTGGCAGCTCCAGCTTCAGGACTCTGCCTATGCTGGCCTGGCTCTAACAGCAGCTCAGGATGATTCATCATCCCAGCACCTGCTGCAAAGCAGGGGCCCAGAGGCTGCTGAAGGTGCTGAAGAGTCACCCAGAGGTAACAGGCCCAGAAGGTGGTCAGAGGTGAGAGGCCTGGAAGGTGGTGATTGAAGTTGCAGATGGCCCAGCTCAGCCCAACAGTGACTGAGAGGAGGTTGTACAAATTGAGATGGGGGCACATTGCTAAGACCTTGAATACCAGGACAAGAAATCAAGCTTGAAGGGCCAGGGATGAAGCTCAGCAGCAGAGCACCTGCCTGGGAAGCATGCAGCCCTGAGTTCAATTCCCGATACAAAAAAAAAAAATCAAGCTTGAGTGCTGGGCTGTAGCTCAGTTGTAGAACACTTCCCAGCATGCACTCAGCCCTGGGTTCCATCCTTAGTACAGCAAAAGCCAAACTTGATGCTGAAGAAAGTGGAAGTGGCAATGTTTTGAGAGCCCCCCTACCTGGCTGTTGCTTTACAGGTCATGGCCCTTGGCGAGCAGAATGAAGCTGGTAGCTTAATGAAGCTATGCGCTCTTCCTGAGGGATGTTTGCATGCAGGAGGCTGACAGTAGGAGGCTAAAATGGAGGTGAGCATGGGCTCGTGAAGAGGGGCTCATTACAAAGACCCTGTGTCCCTACTGCCCCGGTCCAGCTCAAACACAAGTCCTCCTGTGGCTGCGACTCCAGCCTCCCATCTGTGTCCATCCCCGACACCTCCAGATGCTCCCCTGCTAGGCCTCCTCCTTACATCCCAGGTTCCCTTCTGCATCCCCGTGGGCAGCACTCTTCCTGCCTACTCACCTCTCTGATCCTCTCAGCATTCATGGCTGAAACCAAATGACCGTCTCCAGGGCCCCCCTGACCCTGCAGAACGAACATTCCTCCACCTGTAGTGTCTGTCCCAGCAGCCCAACCCTTCAGCAAGGGAGGGAGGACACAGCAGCTTATTAAAATAAAGTGTTAGCCAGGAGTGGTGGCTCAACCTATAATCCTGGCACTGGGGAGGCTGAGGCAGGAGGATCACAGTGTGTTTGAGGCCAGCCTGGGTTTACATAGTGAGTTGAAGGCCACCCTGAACTACTTGGCAAGACCCTGTCTCAAAATGCCATAAATGAACATTTAACAATTTGCTGTGAGGTGCCTGGGGTGCTGGAGGGCTCATGCCATCTTGGTTTATAGATGGCAGTGGGAAGTCTGTTTTGTCTTGCAGTGCTGGGGATGGAACCCAGGGCCTCCTGCATCCTAAGCATGTACTATACCACTGAACTACACCCCAGCCCTAGCTTTTTAGTTTTGGGGGTTTTTTTGTTCCTCTTTCATGAAACTGTAAACACAGATCACAGGATTATTTCCCCTTGGATGGGCTTTTTCTGTAACAGACACAATGAACCAGAAGCCTGGGGTCCAAACCTCCTCAAGCCAGCCCAGGGCCCATGTGGCACAGATGCTGGCAGCACATTCTAGGAGCTGCCAGGGGTCTGGACAGTGAAGAGGGCAGCCTGGCATGGCACAGGCTAAGGAGCCACTAGGGACCCCCACTCTGGGTCTCCTGACTGGATAGCCAGGCTCGGCAGAGAACTGCATCCTGCAGGGGTCACAGCAAAGAAACCGCAGGCAGAGGAGACCCCGCCCAGAGGCCAGGCCTGCACACCCTCCAGTGCCAACACCTCTGGATTGCCTTTCTGGCCAGGTCTCAGTCCCCTAGCAAGGAGCTGACCCCAAGCGGGATCAAGAACCCTGAGGAAATGTCACTGGCCAGTCAGCCCTGGATTAAAGACTACCGTGGCTTCCTCAGGATGAAGTGCTTTGTCAGGGCCCTGCACCCCAGCTCTCCTCCAGCTCACTCCCCTCACCCTAGCCTCCTGACCCCAGCCCCTCAGACCAGGGCAGACACTGCCCCATGTTCTCAAGGTGGCACGTCCCTTTTCAGAAAACCACTTTAGGGGTCCCTATTGGCCTCCTACCAGTCCCTTACCCAGGAGGGCCCCTGTGGCTGGTAGGTCTGATGGTGTTATTCTCCTGGCTCTGCTGTCAGGTGCCAGTAGTGGTGACAAGTCCAACCTGGAAAGGGAAGTGCTGCCCAGGACAGCCCTCCCCACAGGAATCCATCTGAGCTCTCAGTCTCTGAGAAGGCTGTGTGGGGTGAAGCCAAACCCCAGCAGATTTCAGACCACGTCATCCCCTTTCCCAGGCAGAACCCCATAACCAAGGTCTATAGGGGTGCCAGACCCTGAATGGAGAAACACCAAGATGAAGGAGCCACACTCTGCAGGTGTGGGAGCTGGAGATGGAATTGGCTGATTTAAAACACAGCCTTCCAGCCTGTTCTGGTTAGGGAGACTCAGAGCCCCAACAGCTGGCCTCACAAAGCGAGAGAGAAAGAGAGAGAGAGACAGACAGACAGACAGACAGATAGAGAGAGAGAGAGAAGAGACGCCAGAGGTGATCACTGCCTTTATTCTCTCTGTGCTGGGGTCCCAGGATAGGTCTCAGAGGTGTCTGGGGGCAGCAGGTGACTCTAGGCCCAAATTATTGCTACTTGGCAAGGTTACCTTGGGGCTTTCCATAGTGCCCTGAGAATGGGTGGGATATAAGCATGCAAATGATATGCAAATGACATCAGAACCAACCCAGGATCCTTCAGAGATCCCAGATGAAGTAGGGGTGCTGGAAGAGTGGAGTGGGCCCAGAAGGGTGAAGGGGACACCCAGGTCCTTACCCCACACGGCAGACTGATCCAGCCCAGTCTCAAGGGTGAGGTTCGAGGGGTTGAGGGTTCCTGAGCATCAGCCCTGGTTCTGCCACTGGTTGGGGAAAAGCAGAAACCTGGCCCCAAAACAGCAGAAGAAAGCAGGATACTGCTAGCCAACCAGAGAGGGAAGGGACCTGCTTAGTCACACAGCAAGGCAGGGGCAGAGGGGATCAAGCCCAGGTCTCCTGAGCTTGGAAAACCAGGGGTCTGGAAGGCTGAAGCTACAAATAATAAAATATACTGATAATAAATAAATAAGCAGCCTAGTCCCTGGTCCTTGGGCTGAGCTCCTCCCCCAGGTGGCCAGGCCCAGGTCTAGGAGGAGGCAGGGTTCTTGGTCTTGGTGCTGTGGTGACCAGTGCAGAAAGACACAGGCAGGGCCTTCAGGGTCCTTGGTGTAAGCAGGTCAGGCTCAGTTGTTATTCATGATCCACCAGGAGGCTGTGGGTCAGAGGTTGGGGGTCAGGAGCCACCAGGGCCCAACCCCACCCTCCTGCCCCAAAGGCTACAGCACACCTGGGAAGCACATGGTGGTGAGGGTGTCCGGGGCCCGAAGGTGGTCAATGAGGATGCGCTGGAAAGCCTTGCTGCAGGGTGCCTGCTGGTGCCTAGGGAGGGCAGAGGCCGGATGAGACCAGGCTGCAGCCACCTGCTCCAAGATCAGGGCCATTGCTCTTGGGTCTCCCCAACCTGCCCCAGTCCTGCTACCTGGATTCAGGTCTCAGGCCTTCTCCACACTGGCTCTGAGCCTCCATTTTCTTTTTCTTTTTTTTGAGACAGGGTCTCACTTTGTAGCTCAGGGTGGGCTCCAACTCAGTATGTAGCCCAGGTTGGCTTCGAACTCATGGCAACCCTCCTGCCATAGCCTCCCAAGTGCTTGAATCACAGGCATGAGCCACCACACCCGGCAGTCAGTTTTCCCCAGTGTTTTGTTTGGGTTTTTTTTGGTACCGGGGATAGAACTGGGGTCCTTGCAGTTGCACAGCAGGCGGCAAAACCACTGAGCTAAATCCCCAGCCCTTCCCTATGTTATATGGGGACAAAGTCTACTTCACTGGGATCTTGTGAGGATTGAGTGAAGTTTCAAAGCATCTGGCATAGGGTGTGGCATGAAGTGACAATAGTGTAAACTCATTTGATGCCTACTGTATACCAGGTACTGTATTCAAGATATTTTGTTTTGTTTTGTCTTTGTTTTGCAGTATGGAGATTGAGCCTTCACACTGAGCCACATTCCTACTCCTTTTTATTTATTTATGTTTGGTACTGGGGATCAAACTCAGGACCTTGCACTTGCAAGGCAGGCGGAGTGCCACTGAGCTAAATCCCCAGCCCTATTGTTTTGAAACAGGGTCTTGCTAAGTTGCTAAATTGCCCAGGCTGGGCTGAAACTTCAATCCTGTCTCAGCTTCCCAGGGTGCTGGATTATAGGCACACACCACGCCTGGCTTGTATTCAGTTTTTTTTACACATTGTCTCATTCAGACCATCTGTGAGAGGTTAGCTATTATTACTCTCACTGTGGGAAAGGGCGCCAACAGGTTAGGTAACTCTTCTGAGGTCAGTGGGAGAGCAGGACTTGAGCCAAGCCTGACCTATTCCAGGACCCATACTCACGTGAGCTGTTGGACCACCACTCATACCTTCTCCAGGAGGCTTCATCCTGCCAGAACTCGTACAGGGTGTAGGAGGTGTTGTCCAACATCTTGTGGGCGGACACACTGCGGGGCCAAAGAGATGGCCAAGCCAGGCCTGAGCTGCCACCACTGCTGCCTTCTCTGCTCTGAGCACCCTTCTCTGCTCCCCCCTCCCTGCCCCTGCCATTCGAACAGCCCAGGACTCACTGCAGACAATGGCTCTGGGCCCCTGTGAAGTCCACATAGCAGCAAAGGGCTTGATGGAAATCCTGTAGGGTAGCTTCTGCCACCTGCACCTGCCGCTGGGCCACGAGGATGTGCTGGTGAGAGGGGCAGCCGGTCAGCCAGGGTGAAGGAGGCACAGGAGGTGACTCCACAATTCCTGACACTGGCCCACCCTGGGGTCAGCCCCTGCCACCAAAGAGCACTCAGCATCATCGACCCCTTCTTCCAAGCTCACTGTCTTAATCCAGCCCTTGTCCCTCTCTTCTGCAATATGTCACCACTTCTCACTGTCCCCTCCAGCCTCCATCCACCGCCCCAAACCTAGGTTTCAGATTTGCTGATGTGGGAACTGACACCCTGAGAAGGCCATGACTTACAGGGTCACAGAGACCAGAACCAGGCCCTGCCTGCCAGGCCTTGGGAGGGTCAGATATACACTGCTAGCTCCATAAGCCCCTCGCCTTGCTGTGCACACAGGGCCTGACAGCAGCCTGCCCCTTCCTGGGCTCACCAAATCAGGACCCTTGGAGAGGTCCTCTTCATGCAGAGGCTCCAGCCGGGGGGCCTGTGAGGGACACAGAATGTAGGTTGAGCCCCCAATGTGTGCCCGCCTTGAGCAGATGCCGGGGAGGTCCTCCCCAAGGGGCACTGGCCATACAGCCACACACCTTGCACTCAAGCTGGTCTATGAGCTCCTGAAGTCGGTTGACCTGAAGCTGCCACTGTATCTCAGCCTCTGAGCTCTGCCCTAGGGGTGGATTTCAGGGAGGGGGTCAGCCATGGGCCCCTGAGGCTGGGAGGACTTAGGACAAACTAGGACACCAAGGAGGATTGGGCACTGGGGGACCAGAGGGCTGGATGCCACACCTTCCCTGGACCCTCTAGGCCAGGCCTCCCACCCTACCACAGGCACACCTATGTCAGAAGAGCCAGGAGACCAAGTGGGTGACTGGCTGACACTTCTCAGGGTCCTGCGTCCTGCTCGCCGGCTGCCACGAGGCCTGCTCTGCACTTCCACATGCTCTTCATCTGACCTAGGGGAAGTAGAGAGTCAGCCCACAGTCCTCCAGACCCACAGGGCCAATGACTGGGGTCCCAGGACAGAACCAGGCCTGGGTGGGGCAAGTCAGGCCTCCTGGGACTCTAAGTCTCTGCCCTGCACCAGCTGCCTCTCCTCACCTGCTCATGGCCTCGCTGCCCAGTGTGGGCTCCAGGGCACTGGGACCACAGAATGTGATGACACAGGGATGTGGAATGCAGGGACAAAGGGCACTCACGCTCCAGACCTGCAGGCTGGCAAGGCCCTGGTATATGGTGGGCCACAGGCCTGGGACTCCAGGGTGTCTGATGCCCCTTCCAGAGAGTTCTGCAGAGCCTGGAGCTGGCTGGCTGTCTCCCGCAGCAGGAAGCGTGTCACAAACTGGTCCACCTTGGAGGCCTGCTCATACTCCTATGGACAGAGGGCCAAGTCGGCATCTCCCAGCTCTGAGCATATTTCAGAGCAGGGGGCTGCCTTCCTGGTCAGCTATCTCCTGCCCATCAGAGCAACAGTGTAAGGCAGCGATGCAGACCCAGCACAGCAGGAAGACTCTGCGGTCTGGTGGGCAAGGGGAGCTTAAAGCCTCCTTGGCAAGGCCTGGCCTCTCTTTCTGTAGGTCTGAGGCCAACCCACAGGGAGCATCTACCAGTTGGCATGATGGGCATATTTGGACCTCAAATTCTCTTCCCTGTTGGGGCTACCACCTTCAGCTTTGCTATAGCCAGTGAGGTCCCCAGGCACAGCTGGGTAGGGTGGTGGTTAGAGGACCTTCAAGGGCCAATTTAACACATGGTGCAAAATGATGGTGTGATATCGCCCCGTCCCTACCAGCTGGCCCCAAACTCACAGTCTATATATGCATCCATCCATCCATCCATCCATGCAACAAACATCAACTGGGTGCCTTTGCTAGGAGGTATAGACACATGACCATCAGGTCACTGTCCACACACACCACCACCCTGCAAGGTGGGCAGAGGACAGGGAGGCTATGTGCCAGGCCCTGAGCTGCCTACCTCCCCAACTCTCCTCACCTCCTTGTGCCAGTTTCCTCAACTACAAAGCAGGAATGATAATGCCCCTTACCTTGAGCTAGTGGGAGGCTAATTTCTACATAGGATTCCACCCAGTGCCTGGCACACAAGCTCTCCGTACAGGAGCTGTCATCTTTTTGTTGTTGGTGTTGAGGATTCCACCAAGAACTACACATGCCAGGCAAGCACTCACTGTACAGCTAAGCTACACTCCCTGTTATGCTTGTGTCTAGATGTCCCCCCAAAGCCTCATGAAGTCTTAGATGGGACTTTTTTAGAGGTAGGTGAATCTAGAGTGTGACTGATTCATGGTGCAATGCTAGGCTCAAGGGCACTAGGATTAAGGGTGTGAGTACTACCTGCCCTAAGTAGTCTGGATAAGACAAAGGGGGCAAGGGCCGGGGATTGGGGATTTAGCTCAGTGGTTTCTCCGCCTGCCTCGCAAGCACAAGGACCAGAACCAAAAAAAAAAAAAAGACAAAGGGGGCAAAAAGCCTGAATCCCCTTGTTGTTTTTGCTGTCTTCTGCCACCATGAACAGTTGCCCTTCTGCCATGTGCCATCTTGGAGCCAGATGATTATGGAATGAAACCTCTATGAACTGTGAGCTAAATAAACCTTTCCTCCTTTGAGTGTCAGGTATTTTGTCTCAGCAGTGAGAGAAAAATAACTAAGACATTCCCAGCCTTTTCATTTTGAAACAGGGTTTCATGAAACTGCCCAGGCTGGGCTTAAACTTCTAATTTTCCTGCTTTAGCCTCTCAAGCAGATGGGCTCACAGGCACTATGTCCAGCTCTGCCACCATTTATATTGTCAAATATACTACTAATAAGGAATCTGACCATTTGTACACCCCTCAGTCATAGGTGTCCGGAGATCCTACAACTCTAACCACATACACACAACCCAGGATGGGAGTCCTGGGCCATCCTGACCTACTTCAGGTCATGAAGCATCCATGACCTGCTTCATCTCAGCCAGCACATAGGATCCCCTCTGAGCTAGGCTAATAGGATGAGACTGGGACAGAGTGGAGACTGAGTTCTGTCATTCTCAGACCAGTGATTTCTGTGCACATGAAATCCTTCCAATAAATTTTCTGCACACAATGACTGATTAGTTTCTGTTGCTTGCAACCAAAGAATCTGGCTGGCAGAGCACCTACCTTGTGCCAGACACTGTTCCAAGAATTTCACTTAAAAGGCCAGGTGTGATGGTGCACACCTATAATCCCAGCACTCAGGAGGCTGAGGCAGAAGGATCGCCACAAATTGGAGGCCTGTGCTACCTAGTGAGTTCAAGGTCAGCCTGGAATACATAGTGAGACCCTGTCTCAAAAAAACAAACAAAAAACAAAACAAAAAAAAGAATTTCACTTAAGCCTCATAATAATTTACAGGAGCTATAACTGACCCCATTTGCAGATAAGAAGACTGAAGCTTAGAGAGGTTGATTAATTTGGCCAGGGTTATATAGCTAGTTAGTAGCAGGGCGAGAATTCAAAACCAAGACAGAAATTCTTTTCTATTCATACTAAGTATCTTATAGGCATTGCTTCACATATGATCATTATTAGCCCAGTTGTACAACTGAGAAAACAAGGCCAGGAAAAGTCACAGAGTGAAAGGAACCAAGAGTCCCCTGGGTTCCAGGAGGAGGAGCTCAGAGCCTGGAGCTGATGAGGTCACAATGTGACCTCTCCAAAACAGGGCCCAGCCAGAAGGCAGGGTGGAGGTAGCACGGGCTGTGGCCCCAGTGGTGACCAGCCCTGCCATGGGAAACAGCAGTTCTCACAAGAGGACCAAAGCACCCAAGCAGGCCTGCAAGGAGAGGCCAGCAGACATGGACAAGACCCAGGGCCAACAGTTCCTCAGCCACTTCAAGCAGAAGAAGCTGAATGTATGTGTGTGGTGGTGGTGGTGGTGGAGGACATGTCCGGGGGGGGGAGACAAGCAGGGTAAGGGGGCCCTGACCAGTAGGGGAGGTAGGGATGCCGGGAATCTAGGCCGAAGTTCTAGGGACATGAGAAGGGTTACAGGATTCCCCTTGAGGATGAGGGTTCCAGGAGCCCACACAGGTCTGAGTAAAAGCCTAGAAGGTGCCAGAGACCTGGGGGCCCAGGAGGGGACACAAGAGGGCAATACTCTCAGCATGGGGAAGCAGCCCTCCTGGGTACCAGAGGCTATGGACACAGGGATTTCCCTCACACCTCTCAAGTAGACAGCGATAGCCCATAACAGGTCAGCCTGGGGTAGAAGAGGGTTTCCAGAAGGGAGGCAGGGACCTGGGTGAGCACAGGCAGTGGGGAGCCTCCCTGACCTTAAATAGGGAAGACTGTGCTTTCCTGGGGCCTGATGAGACAGGGTGAGGCCGCATGGCAGGCCAGCGGGAGTCCCGGAAACACAGGGCAGAGTTCCGGTACGATAAGGGTCCCTGGGAAGAGGGCAGGGAGGTACTGGGTTTTGGCTCGGCCCCAAGGGCGCTCTTCCACTCACGTCCCGCCCACCCCTAGGCCAAGATCCTGCTGCTTTGCCCTCTGGACCAGCGATTGGAGCGGACTGAGGTGGTGGCGGGTCCGGGCGTGCGGCCCCAGCGGCCGAATGTGGGCGCGAGTGGCGTCCGGGCGGGCCTCCTGGCATCGCCCATGCTACGCGGAGCCGGCGACGGCCCAGACCCGCAGCAGCGCGCGCGTAGGTGGGAGCTGAAGGTCCAGGTCCTGGTTCTGCAGCTGTACCCGAAGCAGCAGGAGGAAGGGCGCAGCGAGGAGGGCGGGGCCGCAGCCCGGGGGCGGGGCCGCAGGCCTCGTGGGCCCCGCAGCGACTGAACCAGAGCGAGGCGGATTGCGGGTGCGCAGCACTTTCTTGCGGCCCTGAGCGCCCGCCTGGGTCCCGGCCTAATAGTAAAGAGCTCATAGCAACTCTGGCGTCTGTTAGCTCTGTCCGAGCCGTCTAGGTGGAAGCAAAGTTGAGGCCCAGGCAAGGAAGGGATGAATAGGTCGGACGGCGGGCGGAACTGTGGACTGAAGCTGGAGCTGTCTTTTCTTCCTGTGTAGGGAGATGTACCTATCTCCCTACCCTCCGGGCCAGATCAGATCCTGGAGGCCCAAGGAAGATGAGCTCGGACAAATCTAGGGTTGGGTATAGACCCATTTCCCCCAAAAGCCTGACATATCCAAGCGCATGTGGCATACACAAATCCCTCTTAGGCAGAAGGGTCCTAGGCAAATGGGCACCATCCAGGGGAATAATAGCGAAGATCCCATGGTCAGAAGGGGGGTGGTCTGAGACTCCGATTTTGCAAGCACTCAGCCCTCCTAGACTTCAAGGCACCTTGGTCAAATTCAGCAGCACTTGTTTCCCAATCTACCCTGTCCAATCCTCTTTCCACATTTAGCTGAAAGCTTCTTCCAAATCAGTTATCTGTCCAGAGCAGTTCACTCTCCTGTTCATAAGTCTTGCTGGTTCTCCACTAACCTCAGGGAAAAGCTCAGATGTATTATTGAGATATGTAGGCCCAGCGCCAGCCTCAGTCTTCCCAGTTAGGTCCTCAATGGTTCCCCTCTCACCCCTGCTCTGGCCATACTGGCACTTGGGGTCTCCAGTGTGAGGCTCACTCCCTACATCACTCTCGAGAAGCCCTCCAGCACACTCTGGGCAGGAGCCTGGCTCCCAAATCCAGCCCCAGACCTTAAAGCCACCTCAGCCCTGCCAAACCTACAGCCTGCCTTCCTGAGGCAGTTGTAGCAGGACGAAGGTCCCAGTTCACTAGCGCCACAGGCCCAGCTTCTGCTGAAGATATTTTTGTCACTCAATACATCTCCTCCTCCACAAGGCCTGCATCCGGCTGGCTGGGGCATGACCCCTAACGTGTTCCCTGTGGATCATTAGAACAAACTCTGGCCATCTGTGCACGCTTGGCCCAAGCTGGCCCTGTCAGCCCCTTCCCTGAGACCGTAATTCAGGACCTGAAAGAAACCATGCTTTCTACTTGAATACGCACTGCCTAAAGCCAGTCTTCAAAGAAGAAAAACACAGTGCAGGGACTGAGGATACAGTTCAGCAGTAGAGCACTTGCCCAGCATGCCCATGGCCCTGGGTTCCTCCTCCAGAACCACAAAAAAACCCACAATACATAGACAGCACACATCTGGGCTCCCAACCCTGCAGTCAAGATCCTGTTCCTGAGTTCACCTGAATTTTCTACTGCCAACTAAAACGGCCCTAAGAGAATGAGGCCCTGCAGAGACAAGAAGTGGCCCCTGTCCAGTGAGGGTTACCACCACCTTCTGGAGGAAGAAACAGTGCAGAGAAAGAATTACAAGCTCAGGGCTGGGCAGAGAGCTTCAGAACTGAGTCACAATTAGGTGGGACTCCATATGGGATGCTTGTGTCTCTTAGAGCTGAGCACACAGGGGACCTCTGAGGAGCTGTAGATCCCTGAGTGAGAGCCTTTTCAGCACTGAGAGTGGAAGGCAGAACCTCTAGCCAGAGGACAGCAGATAACCCAAAGCAGTTTGGGGGAAGAATCAGACTGGTTTTGTGGGGCAGCTGAGGCAGGACCATGGATGCCCAAATTGCTGCCCTTGCCTGGCCAGGAAAGGACGATGAGTCTAGGGAGTTTCTGGGTGGGGTGGGGTACAGAAGCACAGGCAGTTCGAGGACTGAGGTCATAATGAGTCTGATTCAAGTTCTTTCTTCTTTGACCATCCCCTTCCACCTCCACAACCAGGAACCTCTTCAGCCACATCATGTGAGAAGTACCAGGGGACTGCCGGGACTTAAGCCACATCAGGTGAGAAGTACCAGGGGACTGGCAGGACTTAAGGGCTAGGCTGGACACTGGGCACCAAAGGGGGTATATATGTCCAGATGGCCTTGCCACAAGGCCCCTTCATTTCCAGAGCTCTGCTCTACGGCAGCTTTTCCACGCGGAAAAGGATTTGGTCTGACCCTCTTGTCATCCCCGTCTGCAAGGGCCAAGGGGACAGAGCCGCAGGGTAGAGGGGAGTCCTGTGAAGGTGCCTGGGGTTGAAGCCCTAGTGAAAACTGCCACTGAACAGCAGCCAGGGGTGGGGCCGCTCTGCCGGAGGAGGCAGGGCCTTGGGACCAGAGGGCGGAGTCAAGAATTGAAAGGGTTCGTAATCCAGCCCAAAAAAGGAGGGATGTAGGCCCACGAACTGAGGGCTAGGCCCTTTGCCGAGAAGGTGGAATCTGCGTGCGGGAACCGCCGACCCCGCCGGCTTCCCTCGCTGGGCCACATCGCGGGAGTGGTGGACCAGGGCTCGGGCATCACCAAGGCGGGCTTCGCAGGCGAGGACCAGACGCGCATAGTGCTCAAGAGCTCCAGCCTGGTGCCCAGATGGGACCGGCCTGTGCTTCCAGGTGCGCAGGGCTGCGAGCCGGCGGGCGGCATGGCGCGTGCACACCCCGTCAAGCACGGAGTGGTGGTGGACTGGGAAGGGCTGGAGGGGCTGTGGGAGCGCCTGCTGGTGGGGGTCCTGCGGGTGTGCCCAGAACAGTGGCCTGTGCTGGTGAGCAACTCGCCTTCGGCGCCGCCCAAGGGCTGCGAGAAGGTGGCAGAGCTGCTGTTCGAGGCCTTGGCTGTGCCTGCGTGCCACGTGGCCAGCACCGCGCTGCTGGCGCTCTGCTCGGCCGGTGCGCTCAGCGGGCTGGCGGTGGAGGCGGGCGCGGGCATGTGTCACACCACGCCTATCAACGCCGGGCATTCGTGGCTCAAGGCCACCTTCCGGATGGACGTGGCAGGCAGCACCCTATTGCGCTACTTTCGAGAGCTACTGGTGGCTGCGTGTCCCGACCTCCAACTGCAGGGCTTGCCGCGCAAGACCGTCACACAGCTCAAGAAGCGCTACTGCTACGTGTCGCTGGACTTCGAGGGCGACCTCCTTGACCCTGCCCGCCACCATCCGGCCAGTTTCCGCATGGGCAGTGGGAGCTCTGTGTCCCTCGGCAGTGAGCGCTTCCGCCGCCCGGAACCCACCTTCCAGCCGGGTCTGCTAGGCCAGGCTGAGCCAGGACTGCCCACGCTGGCCTTCCGGGCACTGCAGAAGATTCCCCTGACGTTGCGGAAACGGCTGGCTGACACCGTGGTGCTGGGCGGTGGTTCCACGCTTTTCCCAGGCTTTGCTGAGCGCCTGGACCTAGAGCTAGAAGCTCAGTGCCGGAGGCACGGCTACCCGGCCCTACAGCCCCGCCTGGTGGCCAAGCCTGGGCGTGACATGGCAGTATGGACTGGAGGCTCCATGGTGGCCTCCTTGCACTCTTTCCAACGCGGCTGGATGACCCGGGCCATGTACCAGGAGTGTGGCTCCCGGCTGGTGCACGAAGTGTTCAACTGACTGGGGGAGAGGCGGCGGCACCAGGGGCCACTACAGGGACAGAGACTCCAGGCTGCACTGCAGCTGTTCAGAGCAAGAGCACCAGATAAAATAATCTCAAATATCTGGAGCTGCAGGGTCGTCATGTGTGGATGGGCCACCCCTAACCTCATCCCTTCTGGGTTAGGAGCAGGTGGTTGGGCCAGTAGGGCCCTCATTTTGACCTGCAGTCTGAATCTCCCAACTACTGCCTGTTTAGAAAATGCCAATCCAGCTGCCACCCCCAAGCCCAGGCCTCTTAAGAGTGCTCCAGCACTGAACTACATCTTCAACTCTTTTTCTTATTTTATTTTATCCTTTTTGCAGTACTAGGGATTGGCCTGAGCTACATCCCCAGCCCTTTTATTTTTATTTTTTTTTATTTTTTCAGTAGTGCCACTGCGTTAAATCCCTGGCCTTTTTTGTTTTTTGAGACAAGTTCTCACTAAGTTGACTAGGTTGGAAAGGAACTTTTCATTCTTTTGCCTTAGCCTCCTAGAGGGCTGGGACTTCAGGTGTGTACCACCATAGCCAGCTTTTACTTTTCTATTTTGAGACAGGCTTTTCCTAAATTGTCCAAGCTGGTCTTGAAATTGCAGATCCCCTCTGCCCCTAGGCTCCCAAGTAGCTAGGTTAATAGGCATGGGTCACTGATCAATCTTGGGGCAACCCTTTGAAAAGCTACTGAATTGCATGTGAAAGCAACTAGGAGACACCTTGGCAGGTCTCGGAGTCTGAGGGTCTATTTCCCTTACTCTGTAAAGTAGAGTCAGGCACTATCCTGGGCCTGCTCCCTGCCCCCTCCCCACCTTCCATAAGAACTATGGACCAAAGGAAGGTGGACACATTTCTTGGAAGAAGCACTAAAGGGAGCCAGGTGTGGTGGCACAGCACTTGGAAGGCTGAGGCAAGAGGATCACCTCGAGTTTGAGGCCAGCCTGAGGTACACAGGGTTCAAAGCCAATCTAGACTGCACAGCGAGACCCTGTCTCAGACAAGCAAAAAACAAAAGGAATGCTGAAGAAAGGGAGGTGTGGCTTACTTCTCTGTATTCTTTTTTTTTGGTACTGGGGATCAAACTCGGGTCCTTGCGCTTTTGGGGCAGGTGGAGGAACCACTGAGCTAAATCCACGGCCCCTGGCTTATTTTTCTGAAGTCCCCACCCATGCACCCACAGCCCTGGCTATTGGCACTGTCTGCTTGCACAAACACACAGGTCCACACATCACACAACCTGCTACACATACATCATATGTACCTGCTACTCCCATCTGTCCTCAGGCCAGGCCCCCACCCCATAGGCCTCCCAACTGTCGACCTGTGTCAGCACCACTGTTGGGGTACTGGCTAGTAGCAAAAACAAAAATGACAACACCTGCTGTAGCAGGCATTGTTCTGGGTGCTGCGAACAGAGCAGAGAACAACACACAAAAATCCCTGCCTTCACTCTCATTTAATTGTCAGAGAGAAGGTTAGAAGTGGGATCCATTATTATCCCTGGTTTACAGATGAGGAAACTGAGGCCCAGAGGGATAAAAGGGGCAGAGCCACAGAATGGAAGTGTTGCCATTTGAACCCAGGCCTCTAGCTCCACAGCCCTACTCAACAGGTGTGGGTCCTCCAGCACAGCCGACATCCCTGCCCCCAGGCCCTCCACTCACCAGCTTGGTGGTATCCATGGCAGTGAGCACAGCTCGGTTTAGTGCCTCCAGCGCAGCCAGCACAGGACGGTAGACACCCAGGTGCTTTGAAAAGTACTCTGTGGGCAGAAGCAGCACTCAAGGACCCGGCCCCACCAACAACACAACCTGAATGCTGGCCACCTGGGATTCCACAGCTGCCAAGCAGACCTCATATGCTGAGCCTGGCCCATCCTGTCCCCTCAGGAACCCAGCCTCCCTCACCACACCCACCTGCCCGGGGCTCCTGGGGAACACGAGGGCTCCTGGGGCCTACTCACCACACAGTTTCTCTGTCTCTAAATTGCTGCAGGGAAAGAAAAGGCACCCTTTAGAGGCTTAGATTTGGGCCTGGCAAACGGATGTGGAAGCCAATGACCACACCCAACTCCCAGCTCAGCTGGACAAGGAATCTGTGGGATGTTTGGTTGAGGGGTAGGGGAAGCACTGCAGGTAGAGTCCAGCCCAAGTCTTGGGAACTGTGAATGCCAACCTAGAGTCTAGAATTTAACCTAAGGAGACGAAAGGGAGGGCAGCTATGTACATACGTGATGCATATGCACCCAGGGAGCATAAGGAGGAGCACACATTTGTGCCAGGATGTGTAGCTGTGGGAGCACACGTAGGAAGGTGTGCGTGTGTGCATATGTGTGTGTGTGTGCGCGCACGCGTGTGTGTTTGTGTGTCTGCACCTGCACCCATGGGTACAGGCAGGCCCAGCTGTCCCCAGGCATCCTCTGGCTCCTGCAGGAAGGGGGAATGAAGGGGCTGAGCCACGAGTAGTGACTCAGGCCTGACTATTTTGGGGCCCCAGCTGGAAGCGGCTTAGCGGGCAAAGCTGAAGCTGGGCTGGGTGGGCGGGTGGGTAAAGCTGGCAGGGAGCCCTGGCACCTTTCTCCCTCTACCCCCCATCCTCCAAAAAGAACTGAGGCAGCAGGAGACCCAACGGGGTTGAGACAGCCTGGCCTGGCATCTGCCCCCAGCTCAGCCCTGCCCTCTTGTACTCAGTACTCACTCGGTGGGATGCCCTTCAATGCCGCTGAACAGTTCCTGCAGCTCCCCTGGGCTGAGAACCCCATCGGCAAAGTAATTCTGGAATTCCTCAAAGGAGAGCTTACCATCGTCTGGGGGAAGAGGGGGCACAGTCATATCGCTGAGCCCTAGCTGCTCCCCTGCCCCTGCGTGCCCCCAGAATCTCACAAGCACCCAGCCAGGTGGAATGGGATTCTGAGCTCAGCAGGGACCCTGACTATTGAGGACAGGATTGGGGTCCCAAAGGTATCTGCTAAAGGGAACAGAGCCCACTTTGTGTGCCTGGCAGTGGACAGGGACTCAAAAAATGTTGCCAAGTGGAGAAAGAATGAACACAGCCTATGACAGCCACAGCATGGCAGGGCCTCACTGGAGAGGGATTGGGAGGGGACAGCCCCACTCCAGGGCAAAGGGACCCACCATACTCTGGACCCAGGGCCTTCACAGAGAAGCCATAGGAAGGCAGATGAGGTCTCACAGCAGCCTCTGTAAGTGGCAGCAGGCTGGCTCAGGAGGGAATAAGCTTCCTAACACCGGAGTGAGGAGGCCAAAGACACAGGCCAAAGAGTGAGGATTTGGTCTGAATGATGTGCAAGGTCTCTAACCAGATGTGTGTGTGTGTGTGTGTGTGTGTGTGTGTGTGTGTGTGTGTGTGTAAGGTGTTGGCCAGGGAGCCCCTGAGCCTCCCAGATGGAATGCCCACTAACAGGATGTGTCCCCATCAATGAGCCGGGACAAAGGATCTTCACCCATCAGAAGAGACCAAAGGAGAAGGGGTAGGGAGTGGGGACATGACCCCATCTCTGGAGGGTGGAACAAAAGAGGGTCTTCAGGGCAGGGTCTGAGATTCTTTGCTGGTCAAGTGGGACAGTGGGCTGCTCTGGGTCCTCTAGGGTGACAACCTGTTGCTTACTGGGTCCCCTAAGGGCTCTTCCAGACCAGATTGGACACTGCCTAGGCCCCAGAGGGAGGAGCTGACTCCCTGGAAAATGGATCCACCTTTATCCCCACCCAAAGGTTGGGTTTCACTGTGTCCTCCACGCTCATCCTGCGTGCAGATGGTGGGTCTCGTGGAAAGTCAAGGAGGCCTCTAGAAATGTAAGTACCTCACAAGGCCTCCATTATCCTTCTAAGCCCTTCACACATGGGCCCTGGGGCCACACATCACACAGACCTGGGCTCAGAGCCCCCCAGTTAAAGGATGTGTGACCCCAGGCAACTTGCTTCACCTCCCTGGGTGGCTACTCCTTTGGGAAATGGGTGAGGAAATGGCAACCTAGCTGGCTGTGGTGAGGACAGAGGAGGCCATGTACAGGAAGCACCTGTCACTGGGTCAGGGAACGTGGAGAAGGTAAGGCCCACCTCCAGCTTATGGCCAAACCCCATGCCCTCTGTGCTCCATCCTGCCAAACTTGGCTCAGTTCAGAAGGGCACTTTCTCTGGGCAGGATGCCTTGACTGATTTTCCTGTCAGGGCCCACAAGACCTCAGCCCCTCTCATGTCCTCCATTCCACCCCCACCAAGGAAGCCACCCACACTCACCATTCTTGTCAGCTCGGCGGAAAACCTAAGGGACAAATGGGTGTGAGAGGACGCTGTGAGGGGAACCTGGGAGGCCGGCAGCCCCGCCCAGCCCACAGGGCCTCAGCTGGCCTGCCTGTGGGAGCTTTCCAACAAGAGGGGCACAGGAAGCACACACAGCGGGTTGGCACTTGCTCCCTTCTCCTGCAGGGCCGGGCCCCATGGGGTGCTCCAGGCAGTTCCCTGCCCCCACCCCCACAGTCTAACCAGAGTCCTGTCTGATGCATCAACCCTTGGCCCAGCCCCAGAAGGAAGAAGGTTGGGAAGATGGGCCAAGTTGTAGTCCAAGCACCCTGGGCAGCCCTCCCAGACCTGAACCCCAATTCTGCTGTGTGACTGTCCAGACTCCATCCCAGTCTCTGCCCTCTCTGAGCTGTTTCCTCCCAAGACAGTGAAAGATGACAGCAGGCAGGCAGTCACCAGTCCTTTCTTTGGAGTGCCTCAGTTTTCCCACTAGCACAAGAGGGAGCAGCCTGGGGTTAACCCTTTCAGGACTGGGGCTTCTTATGCAGCCAAATCAGAGTGAGGCCCTTGGGCAGGTGTGTGTGTACACGTGTGTGCATGGGTGTGCTAAGGGGAGTGAGGGAGGTGGAAAGCAAGGGTCAAAGATTTAATTTACAGGGGCCGGAGATTTAGCTCAGTGGTGCCACTACCTGCCTTGCAAGCACAAGGTTCTGAGTTTGATCCACAGTACCAAAAAAAAAAAAGATTTAATTTACAGAGAGGTGGAGATGAAAGGCAATGAAGGCAGAGGAGTGTAGTCAGGACTGGAGACTTCCAGGTGCCCTGCAGTCTGAGAAGCCTAAAGAGATGTGCCCAACCCTGGACAGATCACCCTCAAAGCTACAGATCCTAAGTGCCAACCCCCTCCAGCTGACCCACTCAGGGTCAACAAGGGGTGAGGCAGTGAATCCATCTGAGGCTTAGCCCGACTCAGAGAAAGCCTGCTACTGGCTTGGGGTCACACAGCAGCCCAGAGAGGCCTGGGTGGGAAAGACAGACATAATGCGGGGACAGAGCAGTTAAGCTGGGAATGATGACACCTGAGGCCACTGTCATGCCTCTGCCTATAAATACAAACTAGGCAGGACAGAGCCCTTCAGGCCTTAGTTTGCCCATCTGGGACCAGGAGGGTCAGATCCTTCCAGGGAGGACTGTGGTCAAGGTGCTGAGTCACTGGGGGCAGTGGGGAGGGGGCAGAGACCTCTGGGGTGGACAGAAGAGGGCCAGGAGGGGTTGAGGGCAGGGCTGAGGGGCAGGAAAGAGGCTCAGGGCAGCAACCCAGGCGGCTGCAGGGCCACCTGTCCAACGGTGGGAGGGGTACCCGGCCCACGGAGGATGCCTGGGCACCCCTTACCATCTACAGGACTCTGCGGCCCTTGGGTTGGGCCAGAGGGGGTCGGGGGGCAGCACTGGGTCTGCATGTGTCCAGGCTGCCTTGCTCACTGAGCCCAGCCCGGAGCTGCCACACGCAGGGGCTCCCACCCGCCACACAGATAGGGTGGGCTTGGGGACACGGGCAGCAGGGGCAGTGTCACTGGAGCAGGGACAAGGAGAGACACGGAGAGGGAGAGGCAGAGGCAGGACAGGGGACACAACGCAGAGATATCAAGATAAGGGAGACCTCCGGAGATGGAGAGCAGGGTCGGAGAGAGAGTGAGGGACAGAGACCCAGGGAGACAGAAGGGCAGGACCAAAAGACTTGGGGAGATACGGACACAGGCAGAGACAGACACAGGGAGGAACGGAGATGGAGAGTCGCGGGCATGGAGACAGGGACAGACCGATCCCCGCGTCCGCACCCCACTCACGTCCTGGAAGAGCGCGTGTCCGGCGGGCCTGGCGACGGGCGCGGCGGGCCGCGGGGGCCCAGGCACGGGAGGCCGGAGCAGGCACATGGCGAGCAGCCCCGCGCACGCCATGGCGCGCCGCGCTCGGAGGCTCCGCTGGGCTGTAGCTCCCTCCGGCCCGCCGCCGCCGCGGACCCGGGCTGGGGGTGGGGCGCACGCCCATTGGCGCCGGCGCGCGAGCACGGCCCCGCCCCACTCGTCTCCAGTCCAGGGCCCAGCCTCCGCTTCCCGCTCTGGGGAACAAGTGCAAAGTCCCGGCTGCGCAAAGGTCACACCCGACACCAGTTCCTCGGCCGAAGCCCCCAGAGGGGCGGCCACTGTGGAGCAGGGAATACCAAAGGGGTCACTTCCAGCTGGAGAGGGCAAAACACACAGGATCTCCACCTCTGGGAGCCTGCTCTCAAAGTGGGGGCGGCAGTGGACACCTCCGCAGGACCGTGCTCGGGACCCATCGAATGTAAGGGATGGAAATAGAGGCTGGCTCAAGACGCCCATCTAAAAGTCCTAACAGGGCCGGGGATTTAGCTCAGTGGTTCCGCTGCCTGCCTCGAAAGCACAAAGACCCGAGTTTGATCCCCGTACCAAAAAAAAAAAAAAAAATTTTAAAGTCCTAACAAGTTGGTGCAATGAATGGGTCACCTTCCTTCCAGGACTCTGGCGTCTCCAACTCAATTCAACCTTCTTTGCCTCTGCCATTCTGATTCTCTGCTCAACCCGCTCAATAGAGCAGGCCAGAGCGAGAGCTCTCTAGCTTGAATTTTTGGGGTACTGGGGACTGAATCCGGGCCTTGGCATTCCCACTCAGTTTAGTATTTACGTATTTACTTATTTGGCTAGATTTGAACTCTTCTATCCTCCTGCTTCAGCCTATGTGCTAGGATTACAGGTATGTACCACACCTGGCTTAGAGTGAGCTTTAAAATTGAAACAGGGCTGAGGCATCAGGATCACTGAGTCTGAGGCCAGTTGGCTACAGAGTTCAAGGCCAGCCTAAACGGCATAGCAAAGAAAACCTGTCTCAAAAAGGCAAACAAAATAAACCACTGAAAACAGGATGTCATTCCAGCCTCAGATTGGTAACTCCCTGTTCCCTGAGACCCAAATGGTCTCCCCTCACGGTTGCCACCACTCTGCTCAACTCAGAGCCACTGGTTCCTTTCAGGTCCTCAGCCTTGCTCTATCCTGTCCCAGGCCATCTACTTATCTGCTTGATGTACTCCTTCCTCCAGTTAACCTGCACTAACCCGACTCAGTCCAAGCATCACCTCTTCAAGGAAGCTCTCCCTGGTCTCATTTACACAGATCAGATCCAGAGAGCTCCATGAGGGAACAGAATACATGCTCCCCCAGACTGGGAAGCACCCCAACTACAAATAGTCTGTGCATTCGCTGCATGTTTACTAATCCACAAAAGCAGCTGGAAGAAACAGCACACTGACAGCAGGGACCTCTGGTGCTGGTAAAGGAGGGAAATTCACCTATTACTCTGTGCACCTTGGTAGCATGCTTGATTTTTCACAAGAACATTTACTAGAAAGCACCTGAGTTCGATCCCCAGTACCAAAAAAAAAAAAAAAAAAGAGTATTTACTAGAGGGCCAAGGATTTAGCTCAGTGGTTCCACCGCCTGACACAAATGCAAGGAACCAAGTTCGATCCCCGGTACCAAAACAAAACAAACAAAAAAAGAATATTTACTAGATCAAAATGGGAAAAAATGGGGACAAAAGCCTTCCTTTCTTGGTGTCTTGAGACTCAACTAGGGACAGGGACAGGGAAGTGGAGAATGGGTATTTTTTCCTAGCAATCTTTCCTCCCCTTAACTTGACATGAAGCACAGAGTCCCAAGGCCCAGCCTAAACATCATCAAAATATTTATTAAAACCAAAGCAGGAGGAAACAGAGCTGTTAGGAAACAAATCAAAGTGCAGACTGGAGGGTAGGGCAGAGCAGTAAGTTAGTGGGGGGCTTCAAACACAACAGGAAGGGCCCCTCAGTCTGGGCTAGGGGAGCCCTTCACCCACCCCTGCTGCCCACCCTGTCAGTGAAGGCCCCCAATCACCTCTCCCATCTCATGTCCATCCTGGGGGCAGCTGGGGCCCTGAAGTGACCCTCTGGAAAGGGATCACCCCTCCATCCACCATGGCTGTCAGTCTGTCTCCCTCCCTCCCTTTCCCAATAAATAAATCAGTCAGGCATTAGCTTCTTCGGGGTCAGGCAAAAGAACTCAGGGACCCCTGCCCTTTGGCTCCCCAGGCTTGCCAAAAAGGCCTTGATAAATAAATAATGCTCTGTTAAAGCTTCGATCAGAAAAAACTTTTAAGACAGAAGTGCTCTCAATGTCTTGCAAACCCAGTCAGCCAAGGCCTCCCCACCTGGCCTGGCCAGGCCAGTGCACAGGATTGGGGGCAGGCGCCCTCCCTGGGCTTCATTGGGCCCCTGGAGCAAGGAGACCGAAAGTGCAGTTAGAGCCCCCCACGCACACACATGAACTCATGCACACATGTGGACACACCAGGGTGTGTCTGCAGTGCACACACGGATGTGTTCACCTTCATTCCCGGGTACATGCGCACATACATGCTCACACACCACACACCCCAGGTGCACATGTGCAGGGTGCTGGGTGCATGCACATACACACCACGAACACAGAGTCTTTCCCTTCCTGGCTTCTTTGATCTCTGGGTGGCAGCCAGACCCCAGAGCTAGAAGCTACTGGAGAAAGAAAAAAGAATATAATTACACTTTTCCAATCAGGTTGGAAGGATGGCTTGGGGGAGGGGGCTCCAGAGGCAGGGTGGGCATCTCAGGAGATGGTGCCCCCCTAGAGCCTGTCAGAAATCCAGGGGGGTCAGGTCTCCGAAGTCACAATCAAAGAGGTCTCTGATGCCCTCGCCCTCCTCAAGGCCAAAATGGTAGTCGAGGGCCTCATGGGGTGGGGAGAGGCTGATGAACTCCTCAGGAAGGAGCCCAGGAAAGTCCTCCCGCACATGCTCCAGGAGTGAGTCAGCAGCGACCAACGGGGACAGGTGATCCTCATCCACAGGGGCCCGTAGGCCACTCATCCGTGACAGCAATGGCTCTGGGGAAACAGGAGAGCATCATAGGCCAGGGATGGCCCAGCAGGGACAAGAGGGGACTGCCATGCCTGCCTGCCCACCCGCCACCTCCCCTTCACCCACCTTGCTCCAGGCTGAGGAGGGACTGGCTGGGATCCATGGCAGGAGAGGAGGGGGGAGATGATGGTGGTGGCACTGGGGTGACAGTATCACCTGTCCTATCCTCTTCCCCAGAAGCTGCCTCCTGGGACGGGGTCTTTGCAGGGCTGATTCCACCTGCACTCTCCTCAGGGCACAGGAAAACATCAATGGGGCCTTGTTTGCTCTTAAGGGAGATCTGAAAGGTCTGGGTAGAGGCAGGAGGCAGGGTAAACTGAGGCCTGGGTGACCACTATCCCAGTTCAGCCTGTTCTGGTCAGGCCTGGAGCCCCTGGCCTCACCTCTGAAGAATCCACAGCTTGGAGCTGGGTCTCTGGAGGGGCCTTGATCACCATGACCATCTGCTCTGCAGGGTCTGCGATGCTACGAAGGTCCTGGCAGGTCACATAGGCCAGGGTTGGTGGAGTCAAGGACCACATGACTTTTGGCCTCTGGGGGCCACCTGACAGCCCCCAAGACAGGGGCCACAGCTAGTCACTCCTGTCCTCTTGATCCTCACTCAGGGCCTGGCACAGTTAGTATTCAAAACCTCGTTCCCGGGCCGGGTATTTAGCTCAGTGATTCCACTGTCTGCCTCGCAAGTGCAAGGTCCCGAATTCAATCCCCCATACCAAAAAAAACCAAAACTTCGTTCCCCTGAGCTTCAACTGCCACGTGTGTACAATGTGTCCACCTACCCATCCATTTCCAAGCTAATGGTGATAGGTGCCATCGCAATCCCATGTAAAATGCTTAACACAATTCCAGGTCTGCTGGGGGCAATTTATGATCTTAGTGTCAACTGACAGATGTGTTCCAAATTTGTCTGTGTACGGTACTGGGGACTGGACCCAGAGAGCACTGAGCTGCATCCCCAACCCTTTTCTTTTTGTTTTGAGATAGGGTCTTGCTAAATTGCCCAGGCTAGCCTCAAACTTTCAATTTTCTCTCCTCAGCCTCTCAAGTGGCAGGGATTATAGGTATGCACCACAACAACCAGCTGTGACCAAAGTTTATAAACACAATTTTGGTATCCACTAAAGAAATATTTTAATGAAGTTTCTATTTTTCTGAATGAAAAGCAAAAACTTAATGTCCCCAATTTTGTTTTTTTTTTGGTACCGGCGATCGAACTCGGGACTTTACGCTTTTGAGGCAGACGCCAGAACCACTGATCTAAATCCCCAGCCCAATGTCCCTAATTTTGAAGCTACAACTATGTGCTGAATCACTGCACTAAATAAATGTTTGTTACTGCTGATACTAGGATTTTTAAGGTCTTGCTGTGTACCCCAGGCTGGTCCAAAACTTAAAATCTTCCTGTGTCAGCCTCCCAGGTCCTGAGATTACAGGTATGGGCTACCATGCCTGGCTAGCTTTTCTTGTTTACTCTGCACAAATTTGGAATTAGATATTACCATCTCCCCTTTTATAGATGAAGCTGACACCCACAGAGATTAGGTAACTTGTCCAGTGTAACGTGGTGAGTAGATGTGGAGCCAGGACCTGCACCCAAAGCCAGAGCCCTCACCTGAATCCAAGGCCTAGTTCCACTTGACAAGACTCCCATCTGCCAAGACTGCCCTTCACCACCCACACACCCCCAGCCAATCCAAGGATATCGCTGGCTGTCAGAGTCCTCAGAGAGCAGCTGCAGCTGTGTGGTACAGATGTGCATTAGGTGGTCAAGTTGCTGCTCGCTCTCCTGCAGCTGCCGGAGGTCCTGGGTCAGCCCTTCAAGCCGCCCGCTGATCCCCACTGTGGTATGGCTGCCCCTGTGGGGAGGAATGGGGGAGGGGGGCATTTAGCAACTCCTGGCCCCTCTGCCCATCAGCCCTGGCCCTCAGGGCAAAGTCCACTGCTGCTGCTATCGTATGAGCCCTAGGCAAGCCTTTTCCCCTCTCTGGT